CTTTAGTTACTGTGAGGAACTATAATCTGTTACTTTAGTTACTGTGAGGAACTATAATCTGTTACTTTAGTTACTGTGAGGAACTATAATCTGTTACTTTAGTTACTGTGAGGAACTATAATCTGTTACTTTAGTTACTGTGAGGAACTATAATCTGTTACTTTAGTTACTGTGAGGAACTATAATCTGATACTTTAGTTACTGTGAGGAACTATAATCTGATACTTTAGTTACTGTGAGGAACTATAATCTGTTACTTTAGTTACTGTGAGGAACTATAATCTGTTACTTTAGTTACTGTGAGGAACTATAATCTGTTACTTTAGTTACTGTGAGGAACTATAATCTGTTACTTTAGTTACTGTGAGGAACTATAATCTGTTACTTTAGTTACTGTGAGGAACTATAATCTGATACTTTAGTTACTGTGAGGAACTATAATCTGATACTTTAGTTACTGTGAGGAACTATAATCTGTTACTTTAGTTACTGTGAGGAACTATAATCTGTTACTTTAGTTACTGTGAGGAACTATAATCTGTTACTTTAGTTACTGTGAGGAACTATAATCTGTTACTTTAGTTACTGTGAGGAACTATAATCTGTTACTTTAGTTACTGTGAGGAACTATAATCTGATACTTTAGTTACTGTGAGGAACTATAATCTGATACTTTAGTTACTGTGAGGAACTATAATCTGATACTTTAGTTACTGTGAGGAACTATAATCTGATACTTTAGTTACTGTGAGGAACTATAATCTGATACTTTAGTTACTGTGAGGAACTATAATCTGATACTTTAGTTACTGTGAGGAACTATAATCTGTACGGAGCCCCTCTGATGACATGGTAAAAAAAAAATTATATTGTGGCCACAAAATAACTAATTTGTTCCCTCAAATTACTAATTTGTTCCCTCAAAATATTAATTTGTTCCCTCAAAATACTAATTTGTTCCCTCAAATTACTAATTTGTTCCCTCAAATTACTAATTTGTTCTCTCAAATTACTAATTTGTTGCCTCAAATTACTAATTTGTTCCCTCAAAATACTAATTTGTTCCCTCAAAATACTAATTTGTTCCCTCAAATTACTAATATATAGCTACAACTTCTTTAAGGGTTAAGGTAGAGGCATTAGTAGGGCTAAAGCTACACCATGGACAGGGACAGTATAATAGAATTTTATTTTAGGCTGGGAATGAGCTACAAAGACATTTTGAAGAGCCTGGCATTGCAAGGAACCATCATTACTGAGAGACATTTAAACAGAATATTGAGAGCCAGGTTGCTTTACAGGCGAAGGTATGACTTGGACGCCGGCATTGATTTTATTGTTGACCAACTGCAAGGCCCTGGAAAGGATCACGGCTACCGGTGGATGTTTACAAAGTGTAAACAACACGGTATTTCTATAAAAAAAAGAAGACGTCGGGATCCTCCTCTCTTTACTGGACCCCATCGGTTCCCAAGCTCGCAAGCGCAGACGTCTCCGAAGGAGGCAATATTTTGCTCAGGGACCGAACTTTGTGTGGCACATAGATTCATATGACAAGCTGAAGCCATATGGGATATGTATTAATGGTTGCATCGACGGGTTCTCACGCAACATTATTTGGCTGCGGGCCGCCTTCACTAACAGCAACCCTAAAGTTATCGGGGGGTACTTTGTAGAAGCAGTGGATCGCCGTAGGGGCTGCCCCAGGCTCGTACGAACTGACATGGGCACTGAGAACGTGGTGGTTAGAGACATTCAGCGGTATTTACGGAGAAATGACATGGATGACAGAGCAGCGGAGAGAAGCTACATCACAGGAGCAAGTACTGCGAACCAGAGAATTGAGAGCTGTTTTATATATTATTATATATATTATATTATATATATATATATTATATATTAGCACAACAAAACAACATGTAGTAACGTTAACTTAACAGGATGAGGATAACAAGAGACGTCAGCAAACATAGGCCTAAATAAATAACTGCCTTATCATGGGAAAACAAGATATTAACAACAACAGAATATCATAAGACACTCGCCAAGTACGTAATGCAGGTTGTACAGAAGGTATGCTAGAGTTGCTTTGTGCCCACGTTTGTTGCTAATTTGTGGGAACAAATTAGTATTTTGAGGGAACAAATTAGTAATTTGAGGGAACAAATTAGTATTTTGAGGGAACAAATTAGTATTTTGAGGGAACAAATTAGTAATTTGAGAGAACAAATTAGTAATTTGAGGGAACAAATTAGTATTTTGAGGGAACAAATTAGTTATTTTGTGGCCACAATATAATTTTTTTTTTACCATGTCATCAGAGGGGCTCCGTAGTTTTCAGAGTGATCTGTTAACGTTTTCATGACAAAAATAAGCGGTATCGCGGTAAACCTGGAAATAGCTATTATCATTAATGGAGGATCTGATTATGGATATAGGTTCAGTATATAAATGATTATGGATATAGGTTCAGTATATAAATGATTATGGATATAGGTTCAGTATATAAATGATTATGGATATAGGTTCAGTATATAAATGATTATGGATATAGGTTCAGTATATAAATGATTATGGATATAGGTTCAGTATATAAATGACTAACTCAGCGCAGATGTTCAGAATTCTTTGTTCAGTTTTAATGTAGTTCCAGAGCCTAATGGAGGCTTGATTCGGAGGCTCCATGAAAACAAACAACTGAGCATGAGCAGCTACGAGTATGAGCGCCCATGATTGACAGCCCTTGGCATCACTTGATTGGTTAACGTGGACGGCATCGTGGATTTTGAGCTATTGACCCCTTGCATGTGACGTCCCGGCCACGCCCACTCTCCATGACAGACGGCAGAAGTCTAACTGCGAGCCTACGGACACCTGACCAAAACAACCTGTTTCAGCGCATTACAGACAAAACTGTGACATTTTGCAGTGCGGTTGATTATACTAACAGGCAAGGACATAAGCTTTTTTATCTGATACCTGCTCGTCATGAAGACAGAAGACGACGATGGCCAGCGGCAATCAACCAAAAGGACTGGGACCCATCCAAGTACTCCCTAATATGCAGTGAACACTTTTTACAAGATAAAGCAATCACAAGTTTGTATTTATTTTATTTCCATTAATTTGGAGGACAATGACACACGTCAAACGTGTCTCTTACTACTGTCCTGTATGTGCGCTGCAACATTGACATTTTTATCTTTTAAGTCAATTGCGTGTTTCACTATTTTCCTCTCCGTCAGTACGTATCATGTTTGGCTGTAGACAGAAAAGCCACAGAAAAGTGGATTATTGCTAATGCTACCAGCAAAATGTACATATAAATCTGCTCCAGTGTGAGGGGATGCATTGTTAACAATAATGATAAACATCATGTAGGGTGAATTCGGGCAAAAATAGACATTTTATTTAATCGATAAAATTGACTGTGGGGAGAAGGTACGGGTCAACATCCAGTTAGGCGATCCTTAACTTCTCCAAATACCACTCTTTGTGAGCCCTGACCTGATGTCCTACTTCCACCTATAACGTAATCGAACATTGCTTGAAGCAGCCACTTCTCGATTTAGGAGAGGAAGCTCCGTTTTTAAGAGTTGTGTCCGTTTTGCTCTCGCAGCAATGCTAGTTTCCAATACTTCCGCCGTAAGCTCATTCACAATCACGTGACTGGATGACGTTGATGCATCTGGTCAATAGCTAAGAGAAGGGAAGGCGGGACTTGCCCGTAACATTAGAATTCATAAAATGACTTATTTCATATCAATATTTAAGGCCAGGAGGTCAATTTAATACAATTCTTAAAATGTGTAATTCATTTAGAGTTCCAGGCTATCACTTTAAGTCCTCTGAGATAACTAGTGATTTAGGACGATACAAGAATATATTGAATTGAATTGTGTTGAATTGAAACACACATTTGACACATCTTTTGAAGCAGCTACACCAGACCTCCAGGATATGGCTTTATACAAAAAGACAAATATATGTATAATATTACACCTCACATATATGAAACATAATTTATTTGTAGTGAGATTAAGTATGACCCAGTTTACTCTATCCAAGCAGAAGTTATGGCACTCTGTAGATACATGACCTCCTATCAGGAAGTAAACATGTTCTTAAACTACAAATGAGTCCGAAATAGTAGCAAAGTGAACCAGTAGAAGCAGATCCGGAGGCAAACGCTGAATGTACGGGAGGTGCAGCGACTTACCTCTCGTCCCGCAGCTGTTGGGGCGCGGACATGTTTTAGTGTAACGGCCGAAGGAGCAGGACGCCTCACTGTTCAGAAGAGGAAGTCTCATTTCCCCAAAACACTCACTGTGCAATCAAATGAGGAAGGATTTTGTCTGTACCACGCTCTATAGAAGAAAAACTAGCCAAGAGTAAAGCAAAAATATGATGAAACTAGTGTATATTGATAGAAAATCTTTTGCATGTATTCTTTGTTTTGTTTATGTATTTATTTGAACATTATAATTCTTCCCAGTCCTTCTCTGACAGTCTAATCAGTAAGTTTACAAAGCATTCAGCATTTCTCTTTGGACCAGAGCAGAGAAAACGTTCCAAACCAAGCGGCTGCTCCACCTCTCCTGAAGTGCTGTTGCATTTAGCTTTTTTGAATGATCTATTCTGTTTTTATTTGTGCGGATGAATGTGTTTTTGCTGCTACTGGACACGTGAATTTATCGTACTGGGATTAATAAAGTATCTATCTTTCTATCTATCTCTCTAGTTCAGGGTGAATGAGTGAATGAACAAAGAGTGCAGATTAGCCCAACTCTGCAGTCCAGTGTATTTAACAGAATCAGCTGTTCGTTAATGCACACGGTCCCATCCAAATAAACAAGCCAATGAAAACATAGAAGGCCAGGAAAGAAAAAATTTCCAATTGAGTCAAAAGGAAAACTACATTTGACATGAGTGGCTGATGCTGACAGATTCTTCGAACGTGGACGGGCATCGACCCTCTGTCTTCACGTTCCATGGGTCGGTCAGGTGCACTTGGATGTGGGAAGGCAGAAGCTGGAGTTGGACTGAGGCAGCAGGACGTCTGTGAACACAGGTCTGTATCCCTCTGGAAGGGGAACAGAGTTCATCTGCAGAACATCCCTCACTGTGCACCTGACGTCTCGAGGCACGTCTCCACGAATGTCCAGCAACACCAAGACGTGCTCCGCACTGAGGAGGAAGAGGGAACATCTGCAGCAGTCTACAGAGTCTACAGGAGTCTACAGTAGTTTACAGTACTCTACAGTAGTTTACAGTGGTCTACAGTAGTTTACAGTGGTCTACATTAGTCTACTGTAGTTTACAGTAGTTTACAGCAGTTTACAGTAGTCTACACTAGTTTACAGTAGTCTACAGGAGTCTACAGTAGTTTACAGTAGTCTACTGTAGTCTACTGTAGTTTATAGTAGTTTACAGCAGGTTACAGTAGTCTACAGTAGTTTACAGTAGTTTACAGTAGTCTACAGTAGACTACAGTAGTTTACAGTAGTCTACAGTAGACTACAGTAGTTTACAGTAGTCTACAGTAGTTTACCGTAGTCCACCTTAGTTTACATTAGTCTACAGTAGTTTACAGTAGTCCACTGTAGTTTACAGTAGTTTACAGTAGTCTACAGTAGTTTACAGTAGTCCACTGTAGTTTACAGTAGTCTACTGTAGTTTACAGTAGTTTACAGTAGTCTACAGTAGTTTACAGTAGTCTACAGTAGACTACAGTAGTTTACAGTAGTCCACTGTAGTTTACAGTAATCCACAGTAGTTTACAGTAGTCCACTGTAGTTTACATTAGTCTACAGAAGTTTACAGTAGAACACACTGGAACCACAAAGTGCTGTGACAAAGAATTCCCACCCCATGTACTTTTCCAGGTCGAGTTACATGCAAAAACAAAGACACCGCTTTTATATAGACACTTGGTGATAAACTACCTCGTTAGGCGCAGCTGCCCTGGGGCAGACTGACAGCTATATGGTTTTATGAATGCCTAACACAAAGCAGCACACACTTGTTAATGGTTGTCCCATTCTCTGTTTCATGGTGCCAAAATGGGATCTTGTAACCTGCCTCCTCGACCTGTGAACCAAGCCTGGACCCCGGACTCAAGCCCAGATCTCAGGCCGGACCCCGGACCTCAGGCAGGATCCCGGACCTCAGACTGGACTCAGCCTGGAACCCAGACTGCCTTTTGAAAAGTATTTTGGTTAAGGTGCATAAATGGTCTTAGTTGTGTGCCTTGTGGCTTGTGCTGCAACTTCCTGAAGAGGAGAGCACTCCACTTCTCTACATTTAATGTGTCGATGTGAAAAATGCTATACAATAATATTTACTCACATACTGACTTACTAATACAGTATTTTTTTGTAATGTATTTATAAAATACTTTGGTGGAGAAAAAACCTTGGAGAAATGACAAAAAATAATATTAAATTATTAAATAACCCAGTGTTAGCTGCCGGCTTCTGAAGCATCACAACAATGAAACAAGCTGGATACATATGATAATAGACCAGTCCTACACCTGGACTTTGAGGAAGATCTGTTTAAAGATTCTTGAATTAAGCAACACTGAAAAAAGTTATGAACAAAGAAATTATCTATGATTTTGCTTTCACTTTACAATTGTCTTCTTCGTGGTGGTCAAAATGTGGACATTTTCTTGAGGTGTGAATACTTTTTAAAGGCACTGCCGTAGGACAGTGCCTTTAAAAATGTCCTCGGTTTAAAAATGTATCTATGTCTATACTAGTTTCTCACTTTGTCCCTCACTCTTGTATGGAGCTTTTTCCAGGATACAGTACCTTATATCAGGGTATTTTTCAGCAATTGCAGAAATATCAAGGACAAGTAACCCAGGATCTTTGAGGCGGAAGAAGTCAGCCAGGATAGGGATGAGAGCCAAGGGGTTGTTTGAGCCGTCTGCTTCCTAAGGCAAAGAGGAGTATGGCTTGGTAATCATGAGGCAAACAGTGTTTGAAAACCAATTCATTTGGACTTCAAAAAGTAATAAAAAATAGTTAGGAAAACCACCTTTCCACTTAACAAATAGTTTTGGGAAACTAAACAGTAAAAAGAGTAAACATATGGTTTCAACAATATTTGTTGGACATTATATTATTGCATATGATGCAGTGTCTGGTTAGTAATGTGACGGGAAAGTCCCGATGTCTCAGTCCTGGTTCTACAGCCTCAGTCTTGGATCTACAGGAGGTTCTAAGGACAGTGATGATCCGATTTACACACATTTAATAACATCTGTGAACATGGATCATCCCGTTCCCTGTGGACCAATGGCTCCTATGTGTTCAGTTAAGTTCTTGTATTTGAAAAGTTTGTGATCTGTTGCTCTGAGACTGTTGTGATTGAATAGAATTAAATTAAGACAATCACATACATGGCAAAAATCTAGAATGAGGTGAGTCTAACCAGTGTGAGGAAGATTTCTCTGAAGGTGAAGTCGTCTTGGAGCATCTGCTCGGCCAGCCGGCTCCTGTCGTCTGCACTGTGGCATACTATCCTTTTGTGCATCAAAGCACGGAGGTACTCTCCCAGCAGCACCCAGCGCGCCTCCTCCTGCAGCCACTGCACAAGAACACAGGTCATCCCGGCTTCTGACCGCACAGTGCACAGGTAAAACCCGGCCCTGACCCCAGAGTAGACGAACAGTATGTGCAACTCGTCAAGAATAGTACGCAGGTCACTGTGCAATCACATATATTAGATAAATACTATCAATATTGGTTGAAACAATAAGATCGGACGGTCAACCACTAACTCATAATTTAAATAACCATATGTCAAAAAATCATTTAAACAGGAGTTTAGATAATGGTGCCACTATCTTTGGTGCAAGAATATTTCACTGGTAATGAACTTGTGTCTTCTTGTTTCATGGCAATATACCCAGAACTGAATACTTGATAGAACCATGAACCACTTGCCATAATTCTGAACCTGTCCATGTTTGTAGAGGAGTGTGTACGTGGCGTCAGTGGTGTTACCTGTCCACAGGGCGGGCGGACGCGTCTGTAGAGCTCCACGTGCTGCTCCAAAGCTGCACATAACTTTGGCCCCGGCTCTCCATTCAGGAGCCAGTCACGGCTCAGCATGGTGCTGCACCAGGGCTAGAGACACAAAGGAGACATACAAGTCATCCAAAACATTATCACAATTCACACAATAAGACTTTTTAATTTTTTCCAGCAAGACATACAATACAATACAGACATCACAGGACCTGTTTGTTCTAGAACAGGGGTCTCAAAGTCACCAACAACAACATCTGGAGGCCACATGTTGTTGTTGCTGGGCCGCATTAACGGTGATGTTTATCACGTGTTTGTGTGTGTGCAAAATACGTGAACATCCGAGCAAATGGATCTATGAACACACAGAGACAGAATCAACTCAAATTGGACACATCCTTTTACTTTGCACACACAGTTTAGCTCCTTAATACATATAATATACAGCTACATTTCAAACTGTGTCATAAAAAAATCGTCGTTCTCTTTAATATTAACAGTAGATAAAGTGAATGTTTGGGCTCGTAGAACAGACAAAACAGGAAAACCAATAATCAAGCGTTAGAGGAAAGTTTTACAGTTCATTGTTTTGATCTCTGACTTTTTAGAATCAGAATCAGTCATTTTTAGAATGTAAATGACTCTTATTAAATAAGAGTTTTACATAATTCTTATATCTTTCTATGAATGAAATGAGCCCAGCTGTTGCGATTGAAACAAAACTGGATGAAAACCAATGAGGCTTTGTACTGCAGACTAGGTTTACTAATGATGACTTTGAATTATTGCTTATTGCGTTCAGGGTTCAATGTTTATGGTAAAGTAAAAAGACGTGGTTAATTTGGTGGATAGCACTCTCGCTTCTCAGCAAAAAGGACCTGGATTTGAACCCCGGTCGGCGCCAGTGGGGGCGGGTCCCGGCTCTAAAGTGGCCAAAATGACGTGCGATGACATGCTTGCAATACGAATTAGCCAATGCTAACATATATTGTATATATGTTATGAGCAATACATATTGCATATGTATTGCTCCACCACAAGCAAACAATTTTCCCCTTGGGGACAATAAAGTTTTTGAGTTGAGTTGAGTTGATAGCATCTTCTTACCTCTCGAAAACACCTTTACAGGATGGTCCAAAAGTTGGCTGTTGGCCCAAAGCTCTGTTCCACATGTGTGTCAATGCTGAGGGGAGTGAATTTTTTTGGACCACTCTGGTTTACTCGCTGTGAATTATTGAAGGCACTCGTTTAAATGAATGGGGCTCGTGCCGGCTGACGCATGCACAGATGCGTGTTTTCAATTTTTTTTCCCCTGGCCATTTTGAATCACTCCATGAAAGCCCAATTTTTGGCCCATTAGTTAGAAAGACGGAGATAGGCGTGACTACGTCCGTTATTATATACAGTCTATGGTCGGAACAGGGTCTTTCCTCCAGGTGGTACAATAAGTATGAATGTAATGAGTGAGTGAATGGATGGTGTTTGGTCGGAGGCTTTGATGCTCCAGTGTGTTCAGGCACTCGCTTCTGTCATCACCGTGTGGAGGGAATGGAACAATATCTGAACCCTGAACATTGTAAAGCGCTTTGGGTGACCTTTGTCTGTAAAAATTGTGCCATACAAATATAGTGCCTATTTACTTACTTACTATTTTCTTGATAAAATTAGCTTTGAAACTATATACAACATGCCATATTTGCACAAACTCTCAATGGTGCAGGCCACACTCACATTAAACTGAGATGTCCACTAGGGAGCAACAAAACACCTTTGAGACCACTGCTCGAGAAGGTCCTGATTGCGGAGTGGATGGAGATGATTGAAATGATACACTATATGTGGTTTTAGACTTATTCTGACCCCTGATGTATTTGAAGCTGACATACGCACTTGAAGATGGTGCTTAAGCAGCTCCAGCACCAGGCAGCAGGCTCTCCTCAGGGTGCGGTCCAGGGCGGTCAGGGGGTTTGGACCGGCCCTGAGCTGGCCCTCTGCGCGGGACCACAGCTGCTGCTGGAACATCTCTGTGGATTCTCTGTGCAACAGCAAGCGACGTACATGTTACACTGTGCAATATGAAACCACACTGTCCACTGACACTTTACAATACTCATCTGTGCAATCGTAATTTTGATCATGTTAGAATGTGCAATATAGAATGTCCACTGTCACTTTTCAGTTTCAGTTTCAGTTTAGTTTATTTCAAAGGGGGACAATGCAATTTAATAAAACACACACTGTTTTCTTAGTCACTTTGTCCAAACACTCAAGCTGTTAACATGTACAGATGTTTACATATAACGCCATATTTCTTGCACTAGAATATACAGTATTTTATACTTGCTTCTTTTTTTGCTAAAGTTTGATATTTTGTTGTATTTTTTCATTCATATTCTATCTAAAAATGAGTTATGGTTCATTTATCTTGTGCTGTGTGCTCCTCATTGTTCTGTTCTGTAACCAGTGATGCAAAACACTGAATTTTCGGATCTCCATCAATAAACTATGTACCGATACAATACTATCTTATAACTTATATCGGGTCAATACCATAGGCTTGTACTGCTATACCATAGGATTCCGATGCGGGTGTCGGCGTGTGGCAGTGCTTTACAGCAAACAAGTGTGACAAGAGTAAAGCAGAACTGTACGTTGTGTAAGGCAAAAACTGTCACAAGGTGGGTCAAAACAAACACGTAGATTATTTCATTATCTTTAATACAATTTGTAGTGGAATATGACATTGGCTCTTATTGATGACAGTCTAAAAACAAGTGCTGAAAAAATTATTGTTAGTATTGTTGAAAAAAGAAATAAAACATTTTACTATTTTCTTTTCAATCACAATTGTATGAGTTTGATGAATTACAGGGTAACACAAGGCAATACGCAATCGGTATGCGGTATTGACAAGTACTTCAAATTGAGCACTTTTAAATTCAATTATAATAATTGAATTTCAATTTGAAAAAAAGTGGTAATCGGTGGCTTGCACTTTCAAATACCTCTATTATCGCCAAGAAACTTGAAAAAAAGAGCCAGGGTTCAGTACTTTTATAAAGTCAACAGCTTAGAACTTATATTTACTGCCACCACTCACTCTTTCCTTCTTACAGCGTATTTCTGAATTATTGTAGTTAGTAGTTGCCACAGCTTTATCTCTGTAAATTTCACTGTTCCATTTTCATCTGTTTGCTTGTAACTGTTATTAAAATGTTTGCTTTTAACTTTGCTTCTCTTGTAAGCGAACTTGAGCGCCATAGAAGGTGCCATTGAACACATTGAATATGTTCTTCCCTTCTGTAATTTTCTCATAATTTTTAATCATGTAATCTGGGTAACTTGCTGTTTTTGAGTTCTTTGAGATTGCTTGGTTTAAGACTTTCCATAATCCTTTCATGGTGTTTTTATTAGCCTCAATCATATTTCTATAGTAACTTCTTTTACATTTCTTTATTATACTTGTGAGTTTGTTCTTATATTTTTTATATTTAGTTTCAGTTTCCAATGTTTTCTTTAGGGTCACGTGTTCTTTGGGGTCACGTGTTCTTTAGGGTCACGTGTTCTATGGGGTCTTGTGTTCTTTGGGGTCACGTATTCTTTAGGGTCACGTGTTCTTTGGGGTCACGTGTTCTTTGAGGTCAGGTATTCTTTGGGGTCACGTGTTCTTTGGGGTCTTGTGTTCTTTGAGGTCAGGTGTTCTTTGGGGTCTTGTGTTCTTTAAGGTCACGTGTTCTTTAGGGTCACGTGTTCTTTGGGGTCACGTGTTCTATGGGGTCTTGTGTTCTTTGGGGTCAGGTGTTCTTTAGGGTCAGGTGTTCTTTAGGGTCACGTGTTCTTTGGGGTCACGTGTTCTTTGGGGTCTTGTGTTCTTTGAGGTCAGGTGTTCTTTAGGGTCACGTGTTCTTTAAGGTCACGTGTTCTTTGGGGTCACGTGTTCTATGGGGTCTTGTGTTCTTTGGGGTCAGGTGTTCTTTAGGGTCAAGTGTTCTTTAAGGTCACGTGTTCTTTAGGGTCACGTGTTCTTTGGGGTCACGTGTTCTTTAGGGTCACGTGTTCTATGGGGTCTTGTGTTCTTTGGGGTCACGTATTCTTTAGGGTCACGTGTTCTTTGGGGTCACGTGTTCTTTGGGGTCACGTGTTCTTTGAGGTCAGGTGTTCTTTGGGGTCACGTGTTCTTTGGGGTCACGTGTTCTTTGAGGTCACATGTTCTTTGGGGTCACGTGTTCTTTGAGGTCAGGTGTTCTTTGAGGTCACATGTTCTTTGGGGTCACGTGTTCTTTGAGGTCAGGTGTTCTTTGAGGTCACGTGTTCTTTGGGGTCAGGTGTTCTTTGGGGTCAGGTGTTCTTTGGGGTCACGTGTTCTTTGAGGTCACATGTTCTTTGAGGTCAGGTGTTCTTTGGGGTCACGTGTTCTTTGAGGTCACATGTTCTTTGGGGTCACATGTTCTTTGAGGTCAGGTGTTCTTTGGGGTCACGTGTTCTTTGAGGTCACATGTTCTTTGGGGTCACATGTTCTTTGGGGTCAGGTGTTCTTTGGGGTCACGTGTTCTTTGGGGTCACGTGTTCTTTGGGGTCACGTGTTCTTTAGGGTCACGTGTTCTATGGGGTCTTGTGTTCTTTGGGGTCACGTATTCTTTGAGGTCAGGTATTCTTTGGGGTCACGTGTTCTTTAGGGTCACGTGTTCTTTGGGGTCACATGTTCTTTGAGGTCTTGTGTTCTTTGGGGTCACGTATTCTTTAGGGTCACGTGTTCTTTGGGGTCACGTGTTCTTTGGGGTCACGTGTTCTTTGGGGTCTTGTGTTCTTTGGGGTCAGGTGTTCTTTAGGGTCAGGTGTTCTTTAGGGTCACGTGTTCTTTGGGGTCACGTGTTCTTTGGGGTCTTGTGTTCTTTGAGGTCAGGTGTTCTTTAGGGTCACGTGTTCTTTAAGGTCACGTGTTCTTTGGGGTCACGTGTTCTATGGGGTCTTGTGTTCTTTGGGGTCAGGTGTTCTTTAGGGTCAAGTGTTCTTTAAGGTCACGTGTTCTTTAGGGTCACGTGTTCTTTAGGGTCACGTGTTCTATGGGGTCTTGTGTTCTTTGGGGTCACGTATTCTTTAGGGTCACGTGTTCTTTGGGGTCACGTGTTCTTTGGGGTCACGTGTTCTTTGAGGTCAGGTGTTCTTTGGGGTCACGTGTTCTTTGGGGTCACGTGTTCTTTGAGGTCACATGTTCTTTGGGGTCACGTGTTCTTTGAGGTCAGGTGTTCTTTGAGGTCACATGTTCTTTGGGGTCACGTGTTCTTTGAGGTCAGGTGTTCTTTGAGGTCACGTGTTCTTTGGGGTCAGGTGTTCTTTGGGGTCACGTGTTCTTTGAGGTCACATGTTCTTTGAGGTCAGGTGTTCTTTGGGGTCACGTGTTCTTTGAGGTCACATGTTCTTTGGGGTCACATGTTCTTTGAGGTCAGGTGTTCTTTGGGGTCACGTGTTCTTTGAGGTCACATGTTCTTTGGGGTCACATGTTCTTTGGGGTCAGGTGTTCTTTGGGGTCACGTGTTCTTTGGGGTCACGTGTTCTTTGGGGTCACGTGTTCTTTAGGGTCACGTGTTCTATGGGGTCTTGTGTTCTTTGGGGTCACGTATTCTTTAGGGTCACGTGTTCTTTGGGGTCACGTGTTCTTTGAGGTCAGGTATTCTTTGGGGTCACGTGTTCTTTAGGGTCACGTGTTCTTTGGGGTCACATGTTCTTTGAGGTCTTGTGTTCTTTGGGGTCACGTATTCTTTAGGGTCACGTGTTCTTTGGGGTCACGTGTTCTTTGGGGTCACGTGTTCTTTGAGGTCAGGTATTCTTTGGGGTCACATGTTCTTTGGGGTCACATGTTCTTTGGGGTCACATGTTCTTTGGGGTCACGTATTCTTTAGGGTCACGTGTTCTTTGGGGTCACGTGTTCTTTGGGGTCACGTGTTCTTTGGGGTCAGGTGTTCTTTGGGGTCACGTGTTCTTTGAGGTCACATGTTCTTTGGGGTCACGTGTTCTTTGGGGTCAGGTGTTCTTTGGGGTCAGGTGTTCTTTGAGGTCTTGTGTTCTTTGGGGTCACGTGTTCTTTGGGGTCACGTGTTCTTTGGGGTCACGTGTTCTTTGGGGTCACGTGTTCTTTGAGGTCTTGTGTTCTTTGGGGTCACGTGTTCTTTGAGGTCTTGTGTTCTTTAAGGTCACGTGTTCTTTGGGGTCACGTGTTCTTTGGGGTCACGTGTTCTTTGGGGTCACGTGTTCTTTGGGGTCACGTGTTCTTTGAGGTCTTGTGTTCTTTGGGGTCACGTGTTCTTTGAGGTCTTGTGTTCTTTAAGGTCACGTGTTCTTTGGGGTCACGTGTTCTTTGGGGTCACGTGTTCTTTGGGGTCACGTGTTCTTTGAGGTCTTGTGTTCTTTGGGGTCACGTGTTCTTTGAGGTCTTGTCTTCTTTAAGGTCACGTGTTCTTTGGGGTCACATGTTCTTTGGGATCAGGTGTTTGGACCAAACACCATTCACATTCATTCAGACCTATTGTACATGTTGTTAGTGGTAGGGTAAACCGGAGCACTTGGAGGAAACCTACGCAGACACGGGGAGAACATGCAAACTCCACTCAGAAAGACCCCGTTCTGACTGGGATTCAAACCCAGGACCTTCTTTCTGAGAAGCGAGAGTGCTAACCACTCAGCCACCGTGCCCATATCAATGTATTTTGTATTGGCCACAAAATGTGTGTGTGTGTGTGTGTGTGTGTGTGTGTGTTGTATATTACTGTATAGTATCATATTGTTTTCTGTTAGTTGTGTAATTGTTCTGTTTTCTGTGTATTTTCTGACTATGAAAATCTGGAAGATACAAAACATAGATGCACATTAATTTTGTAGTATCACCTTTTTATTACGTGGACTTTCACCAGTTAATAATGTTTTGTTTGTTTCTGACGTAATGTGACGTAGGTCACGTGACCACGCTACACAGTTCCGTGAGGACGTAGGTCGTGTTAGCTGTAGGATACTGTTGTTGGATACATCTGTAGGATACTTCTGTTGGATACTTCTGTAGGATACTGCTGTAGGATACTGCTGTAGGATACTGCTGTAGAATACAGCTGCAGACTGAGGAGACGCGGACATGGACGCCGTGAACGCGTTCAGCGCGGAGGTAAAGTGTTGTGTTAGCTTAATGCTATATTAGCTCAGCCACACCTAGCATTAGCATTAGCTCTGTTGAAGTCTGTCATTTACTGTCTACGGTCATGGTGCATAACGGGGATCAGGGGGAAATAAACACTAGTTATGTTTTAGCTTTATGTGAATCCTGTAACTACTAACGGCTAACTGCTAACTCTGAATCCTCGGTCGGACTGAAGCACTGCCTGTTATTAACCTCAAACACGAACATTACTAACATTACACTGGAGTCAGACTTAACTCTGAACAGTGTGTGATGAATACTGTCTTTAACTGTGCTTTCACAAACATGTGTAACACCAGCTGCACGTATGTGTCCGAGGTGACCTGTGACCTGTGACCGAGGTGACCTGTGACCTGTGAGACTCTGGCTTTGTTGTTGTTGTGCTTTCTACAAACACTGCTCCACAGACATTACCTGGTGCTGTCTGAGTGTAGGAGCTGCTCTGTGGACTTTGGTTCGATCACGTGACTGTCCATAACACACGTGACTGTCCATAACACACGTGACTGTCCATAACACACGTGACTGTGATCCACATTCTGAGATCAGTCGTCTCAAAGTGTGAACATTTCACATCAGAGCAGTAGGAATGAGGAGCACACAGCACAATACTACAACATCTATATCTTTAGCTTAATAAAGAAATATATACAGTGGGGCAAAAAAGTATTCAGTCAGCCACCAGCTGTGCAAGTACTTAAGAAGACGAGGGAGCCCTGTAATTTCCATCATAGATAAAACCTCAACTAAAAGAGACAGAATGATAAAAAAAATCCAGAAAATCACATTTTCTGATTTTTAAAGAATTAATTTGCAAATGATGGTGTAAAATAAATATTTGGTCAATAACAAAAGTTCATGTCAATACTTTGTTATATTCCTTTGTTGGCAAAGACAGATCTTAGACGTTTTTTGTGAGTCCTCACAAGGTTTTCACTATTGCTGGTATTTTGGCCCATTCCTCCGGCAGATCCTACGTCATCGGCGATGACGTAGGAGAAGGACCTCTCACAGCAGCAGCAGCAGTTTGGGCTGAATCTGTAGGAGGTTTCACTGTCATCTGAACAAGGTATAAACATATTTACATCAGTTTGTACATAATAGTGTGCAACTCTTTTAACCTTTTAGCCTGATTTTTGATATCATAAAACATGCTAACAAGGCTAATATTAGTTTTTACATTATGCCAGTCTCACTTTGCCTTAGATTTATTTACCACAATGTACATTGTAATATCCATAAATGCTAACACCTATTAACGGTTTAATTAGCATTTTTATCAATGATTGCATCACATGTAGTCTTATGTTTTCAACTTCTGCAGCTTTTTGTTCATAAAAGTAAAATATTTATTTATCCATCCATCCATCCATCCATTTTCTTCCGCTTTATCCGTTGCCGGGTCGCGGGGGCAGCAGTCTAAGCAGAGACGCCCAGACTTCCCTATCCACACACACCTCCTCCAGCTCGTCCGGGGGGACCCCAAGGCGTTCCCAGGCCAGCTGAGAGACATAGTCCCTCCAGCGTGTCCTAGGTCTTCCCCGGGGCCTCCTCCCGGTGGGACGTGCCCGGAACACCTCCCCAGGGAGGCGTCCAGGAGGCATCCTGAACAGATGCCCGAGCCACCTCAACTGGTTCCTCTCGACGTGGAGAAGCAGCGGCTCTACTCCGAGCTCCTCCCGTGTGACTGAGCTCCTCACCCTATCTCTAAGGGAGCAGCCACTCTGCGGAGGAAGCTCATTTTGACCGCTTGTATCCGCGATCTCGTTCTTTCGGTCATTACCCAAAGCTCATGACCATAGGTGAGGGAGGGAACGAAGATTGACCGATAAATCGAGAGCTTCGCCATTCGGCTCAGCTCCCTCTTCACCACAACGGTCCGATACAGCTCTGACTGCAGACGCTGCTCCCTCTTTACCACAACGGTCCGATACAGCTCTGACTGCAGACGCTGCTCCCTCTTCACTACAACGGTCCGATACAGTTCTGACTGCAGATGCTGCTCCCTCTTTACCACAACGGTCCGATACAGCTCTGACTGCAGATGCTGCTCCCTCTTTACCACAACGGTCCGATACAGCTCTGACTGCAGACACTGCTCCCTCTTTACCACAACGGTCCGATACAGCGACCGCATCACTGCGCACGCTGCACCGATCCGCCTGTCAATCTCACGCTCCATTCTTCCCTCACTCGTGAACAAGACCCCGAGATACTTGAACTCCTCCACTTGAGGAAGGACCTCTCCACCCACCTGCAGAGGGCAAGGCACCTTTTTCCGGTCGAGCACCATGGCCTCGGATTTGGAGGTGCTGATTCTCATCCCAGCCGCTTCACACTCGGCTGCAAACCGTCCCAGTGCAGGCTGCAGGTCCTGGTTCGTTGGAGCCAACAGGACAACATCGTCCGCAAACAGCAGAGATGAAATCCTGTGGTCCCCAAACCGGACCCCCTCCGGCCCCTGGCTGCGCCTAGATATTCTGTCCATAAATACAGTGAACAGAACCGGTGACAAAGGGCAGCCTTGGCGGAAGCCAACATGCACCGGGAACAGGTCTGACTTACTGCTGATGCGAACACAGCTCTGACTCCGGTCATACAGGGACCGGACGGCCCTCAGCAGAGGACCCCGGACCCCGTACTCCCGGAGGACCCCCCAAAGGACACCCCGGGGAACACGGTCGAACGCCTTCTCCAAATCCACAAAGCACATGTGGACAGGTTGGGCGAACTCCCATGAACCCTCGAGTATCTGATGGAGAGTATAGAGCTGGTCCAGTGTTCCGCGACCGGGACGAAAACCACACTGCTCCTCCTGAATCCGAGATTCGACCATCGGACGTAGCCTCCTCTCCAGTACCTTGGAGTAGACCTTACCGGGGAGGCTGAGGAGTGTGATCCCACGATAATTGGAACACACCCTCCGGTCCCCCTTCTTGTAGAGAGGGACCACCACCCCGGTCTGCCACTCCATTGGCACCGCCCCCGATCGCCACGCGATGTTGCAGAGACGTGTCAGCCAAGACAGTCCTACAACATCCAGAGACTTTAGATAGTCAGGACGGATCTCATCCACTCCCGGCGCCTTGCCACCATGGAGGCTGCCAACCACCTTGGTGACCTCTGCCAGGGAGATGGAAGTATCCGCCCCAACATCCTCAGCCTCTGCCTCCTGGACGGAGGACGTGACGGGGGGATTGAGGAGAACCTCGAAGTATTCCTTCCACCGCCCGACAATATCCCCAGTCGAGGTCAGCAGCCCTCCACCCGCACCATACACAGTGTTGGCAAAGAACTGCTTCCCCCTCCTGAGGCGGCGGACGGTTTGCCAGAACCTCTTCGAGGCCGACCGATAGTCATGCTCCATGGACTCTCCGAACTCCTCCCAGTCCCGGGTTTTTGCCTCTGCAACAGCCCGGGCCGCGGCACGTTTGGCCTGCCGGTACTGGACGCGACCCTCTCATTCACCGGGGAGAACTCCAACACGTGGCGGCTGAGATGGGGGGCAATGAGTATGGCCACCCCAGCTCGCCGCCTCTCCCCGTGGGAAACACCAGAAAAGTGGAGCGTCCAACCCCTCTCAAGGAGTTGGGTTCCAGAGCCCAAGCTGTGTGTGGAGGTGAGGCCGACTATCTCTAGTCGGTATCGCTCAACCTCCCCCACAAGCTCGGGCTCCTTCCCCCCCAGTGAGGTGACGTTCCACGTCCCAAGAGCCAGATGTTGGGTGTGCGGACTGGGTCGTCGAGGTCTCCGCCTTCGACTGCTGCCCAGTCCTCTCTGCACCTCGCCACCACGGACCCCTCTGCAGGTGGTGGGCCCACAGGAGGGACTGCCCACGTCATCCCTTCGGGCTGAGCCCGGCCGGGCCCCGTGGGCTAAGGCCCGGCCACCAGGCGCTCGCTTGCGAGCCCCGACCCCAGGCCTGGCTCCAGGGTGGGGCCCCGGCTGCGCCATGCCGGGCGACGTCACGGTTCTCATTGTCGTGCTGTCCATGGTTGGCTTCGGACTGCGCTTCGTCTGACTCGTCACTTGAGACCTGTCTGCCATGGGAGACCCTACCAGGGGCATGAAGCCCCAGACAGCATAGTTCCCAGGATCATCCGAGTGCTCAAACTCCCCCACCACGTTAAGGTGGCAGTCCAAGGGGGGAGCTTTAATTCAAGTTATTTTGATTAGCATTTATGGATATTACAATGTACATTGTGGTAAATAAATCTAAGGCAAAGTGAGACTGGCATAATGTAAAAACGAATATTAGCCTTGTTAGCATGTTTTATGATATCAAGTAGAGTTAGCTAACTTGGCCAACACTAATTAGCTTGCACACTATTATGTACAAACTGATGAAAATATAGGGCGGCGGTGAAGACCATGGTGAAGACATACAGATTGTAGAAGACATTGTGCCAAAACGCGGAGCTACCTCAAACATATGGGAGTAGTTTGGGAACTAGATAAAAAGAAGCAATAGTGTGTAACTATCGACAGTGGATCTAATGTTGTGAAAGCAGCTGCTCTAAACATCTCTCTCTCTCTCTCTCTCTCTCTCTCTCTCTCTCTCTCTCTCTCTCTCTCTCTCTGTCTCTGTCTCTGTCTCTGTCTCTGTCTCTGTCTCTGTCTCTGTCTCTCTCTCTCTCTCTCTGTGTGTACCATTGGTAAGCTTTATTTACTGTTTACTGTCATTCATTTTACTTCAATGCATGTGTTTGTCTAAATTGCAATATAATTACAAATAAGTTATAATTACATAATTATAGAAACGCAAAAGGATACAAAAAATATATACAGTATTTGATCATTTTGACTATATTGGGATTAGGAAACATAAGCCAAAGTGATCAAATAATTATTTGATAATGCTACTTTTTATATTACAAAAGGACAAACTTTTATATATTTTACAAATTACAAATGTTCACCTTTATTACATGTTGCCTGTAATTTTCAGTATGTACAAAACAGAATTCTCTACAATTCAGTTTTGTTAATACGTTTTATATACAATAGCTGTATTACACATTTTGCTGCCAATAAATCAGTAAATGCACTTTGAGGCGAGTGTGTTTAAAATTATCAGTGCTAAGTTTTTATAGCTTTTATATGAGGCTTTGTTAAAATTATCATATCGTCAAATTGTGATACATACCAACAAAAATCGTGATACATGCTGAGGCCCATATCGCCCAACCCTACCCCAGATGGAGCAGCTTAGTGTGAAGAAGTCAACTGTGGGAGACAAACAAGACACAGTGTCTTGTTTGTCTCCCACAGTTGATTTCTTCACACCAAGCTGCTTACCTATAGCAGAGTCAGTCTTCCCAGCCTGGTGCAGGTCTACAGTGTTGTCCTTTGACAGCTCTTTGGTCTTAGTAGAGTTTGGAGACAGGTGTCTAATCTTTTCACTGCTGCTGTTAAAGAATGATGTTGGTTCTTTCCTGTCTTTAGCCTGAGGAGGATGTTGTTGAGTAAGTGGTTCTACAGCTGGGGGCCGCTTGTTCCACTGCCCCCTACTGGCCGCAAGCTACAACTACACGGTTTTTCGTTGCCGTTTAAACGCTGTGGACTTGAATAAGGAGTCTGATCGTTTTTTGCTAATGGTTTTGCAGTGTTTCAGCAGCGTCTCTGTCTACACAGAGCCACAGAGCCTCAAAGTAGGAGTTACTGTATGTGGAGGTGATGCTAACACCTACAGTAATTACAGACTGTACATGGTAGCATCACTTCCACTAGCTACTAACATGTAGTACCAGTGCATGAAAAGGACTGAGGACTCGATAAATTAAATGATGAATGTTGTAACAGCTCATGTGGAGTGTGAAGGTCTATGTTTCAAGTCTATACTTTAGTGTCGGTTTGTTTTGTTTAATATGGGCCTTTTATGTGTCTGAATAAAAGATACAATGAATTGTGTGTACGGCTGGCAGCTGTTTTTACACTTTTTGTTTTCCCAATTTCTTAAGTACCGTATTGTGTTTTCTCTCTACAGCTTTTCTCCATGATTGACATGAAGCCTCCCATATCCAGAGCAAAGATGATGTCTGTGACAAAGTCTGCCATTAAGGCCATAAAGGTGTGTGTGTGTGTGTGTGTGTGTGCGAACTGTGGAGAGTATTGTGTGTATATGCTATTGCTATAATAAATGTCTTTGTTTTTAGCTGTACAAACATGTGGTGCAGCTTGTGGAGAAGTTTGTGAAAAAGGTATGTAATACAAACACGTCTTCAGATCATTGTGGAAGCAGTGTGTGACGGAGCAGTGTGTGACGGAGCAGTGTGTGTGACGGAGCAGTGTGTGACGGAGCAGTGTGTGACGGAGCAGTGTGTGTGACGGAGCAGTGTGTGACGGAGCAGTGTGTGACGGAGCTGCTCTGTCCAGTGCAAACCGGACCTGAAGGTGCCGGGTCTGTACGTGGTCGACTCCATCGTGCGTCAGTCCAGGCATCAGTTTGGAGTCGACAAGGACGTCTTTGGACCCAGGTTCATGAAGAACTTCAACGAGACCTTCAACAACCTCTACTGCTGCCCCGAAGAGGACAAGGTATGTCTGTAGGCTTTAGTCTGTAGGCTTTGGTATGTAGGCTTCAGTCTGTAGGCTTCGGTCTGTACGGCTTTGGTCTGTAGGCTTTGGTCTGTAGTCTGTAGAGCTGTAGTCTGTAGAGCTGTAGTCTGTAGAGCTGTAGTCTGTAGAGCTGTAGTCTGTAGAGCTGTAGTCTGTAGAGCTGTAGTCTGTAGAGCTGTAGTCTGTAGGCTTTGGTCTGTAGTCTGTAGGGCTGTAGTCTGTAGAGCTGTAGTCTGTAGAGCTGTAGTCTGTAGAGCTGTAGTCTGTAGAGCTGTAGTCTGTAGAGCTGTAGTCTGTAGAGCTGTAGTCTGTAGAGCTGTAGTCTGTAGGCTTTGGTCTGTAGGCTTTGGTCTGTAGGCTTTGGTCTGTAGTCTGTAGGGCTGTAGTCTGTAGGGCTGTAGTCTGTAGGGCTGTAGTCTGTAGGGCTGTAGTCTGTAAACATGTCTTTGTCGTGTTCAGACCAAAATCATGCGTGTTCTGAACCTGTGGGAGAAGAACGGTGTGTTTGACATGGACATCATTCAGCCGCTCATGGACATGGCCCATGGTCCTGTGGCCACAGCAGGAGGTTAGTACTCTCAGCTTACATACATGTACGTGTTTAATACTGTGTATGAGTATCATGTACTCTCAGCTTACATACATGTACGTGTTTAATACTGTGTATGAGTATCATGTACTCTCAGCTTACATACATGTACGTGTTTAATACTGTGTATGAGTATCATGTACTCTCAGCTTACATACATGTACGTGTTTAATACTGTGTATGAGTATCATGTACTCTCAGCTTACATACATGTACGTGTTTAATACTGTGTATGAGTAACATGTACTCTCAGCTTACATACATGTACGTGTTTAATACTGTGTATGAGTATCATGTACTCTCAGCTTACATACATGTACGTGTTTAATACTGTGTATGAGTAACATGTACTCTCAGCTTACATACATGTACGTGTTTAATACTGTGTATGAGTATCATGTACTCTCAGCTTACATACATGTACGTGTTTAATACTGTGTATGAGTATCATGTACTCTCAGCTTACATACATGTACGTGTTTAATACTGTGTATGAGTATCATGTACTCTCAGCTTACATACATGTACGTGTTTAATACTGTGTATGAGTATCATGTACTCTCAGCTTACATACATGTACGTGTTTAATACTGTGTATGAGTATCATGTACTCTCAGCTTACATACATGTACGTGTTTAATACTGTGTATGAGTATCATGTACTCTCAGCTTACATACATGTACGTGTTTAATACTGTGTATGAGTATCATGTACTCTCAGCTTACATACATGTACGTGTTTAATACTGTGTGTGAGTACCATGTTCTCTCAGCTTACATACATGTACGTGTTTAATACTGTGTATGAGTATCATGTACTCTCAGCTTACATACATGTACGTGTTTAATACTGTGTATGAGTATCATGTACTCTCAGCTTACATACATGTACGTGTTTAATACTGTGTATGAGTAGCATGTACTCTCATTACTCTCTTACTCATTAGTGTAAAACTGTATAAAACAGCTCTACGTCTTGTTGATCCTGTAGTAACTGGTGTCAGACTGTTGTTGATCCTGTAGTAACTGGTGTCAGACTGTTGTTGATCCTGTAGTAACTGGTGTCAGACTGTTGTTGATCCTGTAGTAACTGGTGTCAGACTGTTGTTGATCCTGTAGTAACTGGTGTCAGACTGTTGTTGATCCTGTAGTAACTGGTGTCAGACTGTTGTTGATCCTGTAGTAACTGGTGTCAGACTGTTGTTGATCCTGTAGTAACTGGTCTCAGACTGTTGTTGATCCTGTAGTAACTGGTGTCAGACTGTTGTTGATCCTGTAGTAACTGGTCTCAGACTGTTGTTGATCCTGTAGTAACTGGTGTCAGACTGTTGTTGATCCTGTAGTAACTGGTGTCAGACTGTTGTTGATCCTGTAGTAACTGGTGACAGACTGTTGTTGATCCTGTAGTAACTGGTCTCAGACTGTTGTTGATCCTGTAGTAACTGGTCTCAGACTGTTGTTGATCCTGTAGTAACTGGTGTCAGACTGTTGTTGATCCTGTAGTAACTGGTGTCAGACTGTTGTTGATCCTGTAGTAACTGGTCTCAGACTGTTGTTGATCCTGTAGTAACTAGTGTCAGACTGTTGTTGATCCTGTAGTAACTGGTCTCAGACTGTTGTTGATTCTGTAGTAACTGGTGTCAGACTGTTGTTGATCCTGTAGTAACTGGTGTCAGACTGTTGTTGATCCTGTAGTAACTGGTCTCAGACTGTTGTTGATCCTGTAGTAACTGGTGTCAGACTGTTGTTGATCCTGTAGTAACTGGTCTCAGACTGTTGTTGATCCTGTAGTAACTGGTGTCAGACTGTTGTTGATCCTGTAGTAACTGGTGTCAGACTGTTGTTGATCCTGTAGTAACTGGTGTCAGACTGTTGTTGATCCTGTAGTAACTGGTGTCAGACTGTTGTTGATCCTGTAGTAACTGGTCTCAGACTGTTGTTGATCCTGTAGTAACTGGTGTCAGACTGTTGTTGATCCTGTAGTAACTGGTCTCAGACTGTTGTTGATCCTGTAGTAACTGGTCTCAGACTGTTGTTGATCCTGTAGTAACTGGTGTCAGACTGTTGTTGATCCTGTAGTAACTGGTCTCAGACTGTTGTTGATCCTGTAGTAACTGGTCTCAGACTGTTGTTGATCCTGTAGTAACTGGTGTCAGACTGTTGTTGATCCTGTAGTAACTGGTGTCAGACTGTTGTTGATCCTGTAGTAACTGGTCTCAGGCTGTTGTTGATCCTGTAGTAACTGGTGTCAGACTGTTGTTGATCCTGTAGTAACTGGTCTCAGACTGTTGTTGATCCTGTAGTAACTGGTGTCAGACTGTTGTTGATCCTGTAGTAACTGGTCTCTCAGACTGTTGTTGATCCTGTAGTAACTGGTCTCAGTCTGTTGTTGATCCTGTAGTAACTGGTCTCAGACTGTTGTTGATCCTGTAGTAACTGGTCTCAGACTGTTGTTGATCCTGTAGTAACTGGTCTCTCAGACTGTTGTTGATCCTGTAGTAACTGGTCTCAGTCTGTTGTTGATCCTGTAGTAACTGGTGTCTCAGACTGTTGTTGATCCTGTAGTAACTGGTGTCAGACTGTTGTTGATCCTGTAGTAACTGGTGTCAGACTGTTGTTGATCCTGTAGTAACTGGTCTCAGACTGTTGTTGATCCTGTAGTAACTGGTGTCAGACTGTTGTTGATCCTGTAGTAACTGGTCTCAGACTGTTGTTGATCCTGTAGTAACTGGTGTCAGACTGTTGTTGATCCTGTAGTAACTGGTCTCAGGCTGTTGTTGATCCTGTAGTAACTGGTCTCAGTCTGTTGTTGATCCTGTAGTAACTGGTGTCTCAGACTGTTGTTGATCCTGTAGTAACTGGTGTCAGACTGTTGTTGATCCTGTAGTAACTGGTGTCAGACTGTTGTTGATCCTGTAGTAACTGGTCTCAGACTGTTGTTGATCCTGTAGTAACTGGTCTCAGACTGTTGTTGATCCTGTAGTAACTGGTGTGAGACTGTTGTTGATCCTGTAGTAACTGGTGTGAGACTGTTGTTGATCCTGTAGTAACTGGTCTCAGACTGTTGTTGATCCTGTAGTAACTGGTGTCAGACTGTTGTTGATCCTGTAGTAACTGGTCTCAGACTGTTGTTGATCCTGTAGTAACTGGTGTCAGACTGTTGTTGATCCTGTAGTAACTGGTCTCTCAGACTGTTGTTGATCCTGTAGTAACTGGTCTCAGACTGTTGTTGATCCTGTAGTAACTGGTCTCAGACTGTTGTTGATCCTGTAGTAACTGGTCTCAGACTGTTGTTGATCCTGTAGTAACTGGTCTCAGACTGTTGTTGATCCTGTAGTAACTGGTCTCAGACTGTTGTTGATCCTGTAGTAACTGGTGTCAGACTGTTGTTGATCCTGTAGTAACTGGTGTCAGACTGTTGTTGATCCTGTAGTAACTGGTCTCAGACTGTTGTTGATCCTGTAGTAACTGGTGTCAGACTGTTGTTGATCCTGTAGTAACTGGTGTCAGACTGTTGTTGATCCTGTAGTAACTGGTCTCTCAGACTGTTGTTGATCCTGTAGTAACTGGTGTCAGACTGTTGTTGATCCTGTAGTAACTGGTGTCAGACTGTTGTTGATCCTGTAGTAACTGGTGTCAGACTGTTGTTGATCCTGTAGTAACTGGTGTCAGACTGTTGTTGATCCTGTAGTAACTGGTCTCAGACTGTTGTTGATCCTGTAGTAACTGGTGTCAGACTGTTGTTGATCCTGTAGTAACTGGTGTCAGACTGTTGTTGATCCTGTAGTAACTGGTGTCAGACTGTTGTTGATCCTGTAGTAACTGGTGTCAGACTGCTGTTGATCCTGTAGTAACTGGTCTCAGACTGTTGTTGATCCTGTAGTAACTGGTGTCAGACTGTTGTTGATCCTGTAGTAACTGGTGTCAGACTGTTGTTGATCCTGTAGTAACTGGTGTCAGACTGTTGTTGATCCTGTAGTAACTGGTGTCAGACTGTTGTTGATCCTGTAGTAACTGGTGTCAGACTGTTGTTGATCCTGTAGTAACTGGTCTCAGACTGTTGTTGATCCTGTAGTAACTGGTGTCAGACTGTTGTTGATCCTGTAGTAACTGGTCTCTCAGACTGTTGTTGATCCTGTAGTAACTGGTCTCAGACTGTTGTTGATCCTGTAGTAACTGGTCTCTCAGACTGTTGTTGATCCTGTAGTAACTGGTCTCAGTCTGTTGTTGATCCTGTAGTAACTGGTGTCTCAGACTGTTGTTGATCCTGTAGTAACTGGTGTCAGACTGTTGTTGATCCTGTAGTAACTGGTGTCAGACTGTTGTTGATCCTGTAGTAACTGGTCTCAGACTGTTGTTGATGCTGTAGTAACTGGTCTCAGACTGTTGTTGATGCTGTAGTAACTGGTCTCAGACTGTTGTTGATCCTGTAGTAACTGGTGTGAGACTGTTGTTGATCCTGTAGTAACTGGTGTGAGACTGTTGTTGATCCTGTAGTAACTGGTCTCAGACTGTTGTTGATCCTGTAGTAACTGGTGTCAGACTGCTGTTGATCCTGTAGTAACTGGTCTCAGACTGTTGTTGATCCTGTAGTAACTGGTCTCAGACTGTTGTTGATCCTGTAGTAACTGGTGTCAGACTGTTGTTGATCCTGTAGTAACTGGTGTCAGACTGTTGTTGATCCTGTAGTAACTGGTGTCAGACTGTTGTTGATGCTGTAGTAACTGGTGTCAGACTGTTGTTGATCCTGTAGTAACTGGTCTCAGACTGTTGTTGATCCTGTAGTAACTGGTGTCAGACTGTTGTTGATCCTGTAGTAACTGGTGTCAGACTGTTGTTGATCCTGTAGTAACTGGTGTCAGACTGTTGTTGATCCTGTAGTAACTGGTGTCAGACTGTTGTTGATCCTGTAGTAACTGGTCTCAGACTGTTGTTGATCCTGTAGTAACTGGTGTGAGACTGTTGTTGATCCTGTAGTAACTGGTGTCAGACTGTTGTTGATCCTGTAGTAACTGGTCTCAGACTGTTGTTGATCCTGTAGTAACTGGTCTCAGACTGTTGTTGATCCTGTAGTAACTGGTGTCAGACTGTTGTTGATCCTGTAGTAACTGGTCTCAGACTGTTGTTGATCCTGTAGTAACTGGTGTCAGACTGTTGTTGATCCTGTAGTAACTGGTCTCAGACTGTTGTTGATCCTGTAGTAACTGGTGTCAGACTGTTGTTGATCCTGTAGTAACTGGTGTCAGACTGTTGTTGATCCTGTAGTAACTGGTGTCAGACTGTTGTTGATCCTGTAGTAACTGGTGTCAGACTGTTGTTGATCCTGTAGTAACTGGTGTCAGACTGTTGTTGATCCTGTAGTAACTGGTGTCAGACTGTTGCTAATGTCCTAAATGGTTTCTTCCAGTTTTCCAGTCTGTGAACTCGGAGCCACACGTCAGTGCTGTTGCCTGTGAACCAGCGGAGCCTTCGGAGCCCGCGGAGACGGAGATGTCCAACATGGAGGCTTTGGCAGCGATGGCCCAGCTCTTCCAGTCTCCTCAGGGCCAAGAGGTGAGACGTTGGTTTGAATTAGTTTTAGGGATGTAAAAAACTATGAATTTTCATGACCGACCACCGAGCCTCATTAACCGGTTGAAACCGGTTAACCGCGTAGTTTAAAATAGTCCACGTTCTTTGAAATAACAGCCATTTCGAGCCGCGTACTTTTCATAAGTGCAGCTGAGCGTTCTACGGGATCAGAGCCGAGACAGCGGCACCAAAACCCGCAACAGCTTCGGCACCTTTGCTCACAGAGAACTGCTGTTTTAATCTTCCCATTCTTCTGTGCTGCGGCTTAAAGCATTTTTAAGCAAAAGACAGCTCGTCCACATGGTCAGGGCAGCGAGTGACGAGCCGCGTCTCGCAGGTCTCCGCTAAAGTTTAAAAGTGATCAGTGTGGAGCTGATGCCAAGGACCAGCAGCACACACATGGTCCATGTGTGTGGAGCTGATGCCAAGGACCAGCAGCACAAACATGGTCCATGTGGTTTGACTGGAGCCGTGTATTTGCAAGAATGCTTTGGGCTCCGTGACACAGAGGAGCGCGACAGACCGGTATGTGTGTGTGTACAATACATGTATGTATGTGTGTATATGTCTTTAGTGGAGGCTGGAGGTCACGGAGACTTTAGCGGAGGCTGGAGGTCGCGGAGACTTTAGTGGAGGCTGGAGGTCGCGGAGACTTTAGTGGAGGCTGGAGGTCGGGGAGACTTTAGCGGAGGCTGGAGGTCGGGGAGACTTTAGTGGAGGCTGGAGGTCGCGGAGACTTTAGCGGAGGCTGGAGGTCGGGGAGACTTTAGTGGAGGCTGGAGGTCGGGGAGACTTTAGTGGAGGCTGGAGGTCGCGGAGACTTTAGTGGAGGCTGGAGGTCACGGAGACTTTAGCGGAGGCTGGAGGTCGGGGAGACTTTAGTGGAGGCTGGAGGTCGGGGAGACTTTAGCGGAGAATGGAGGTCGCAGAGACTTCATCAGAGGCTGGAGGTCGGGGAGACTTTAGTGGAGGCTGGAGGTCGCGGAGACTTTAGTGGAGGCTGGAGGTTGGGGAGACTTTAGTGGAGGCTGGAGGTCGGGGAGACTTTAGCGGAGGCTGGAGGTCGGGGAGACTTTAGTGGAGGCTGGAGGTCGGGGAGACTTTAGCGGAGGCTGGAGGTCGCGGAGACTTTAGCGGAGGCTGGAGGTCGCCGAGACTTTAGTGGAGGCTGGAGGTCGCCGAGACTTTAGTGGAGGCTGGAGGTCACGGAGACTTTAGTGGAGGCTGGAGGTCGGGGAGACTTTAGTGGAGGCTGGAGGTCGCGGAGACTTTAGTGGAGGCTGGAGGTCGGGGAGACTTTAGTGGAGGCTGGAGGTCGGGGAGACTTTAGCGGAGGCTGGAGGTCGCGGAGACTTTAGCGGAGGCTGGAGGTCGCCGAGACTTTAGTGGAGGCTGGAGGTCGGGGAGACTTTAGTGGAGGCTGGAGGTCGGGGAGACTTTAGCGGAGGCTGGAGGTCACGGAGACTTTAGCGGAGGCTGGAGGTCGGGGAGACTTTAGTGGAGGCTGGAGGTCACGGAGACTTTAGCGGAGGCTGGAGGTCGCGCAGACTTTAGTGGAGGCTGGAGGTCGCGGAGACTTTAGTGGAGGCTGGAGGTCGGGGAGACTTTAGTGGAGGCTGGAGGTCGGGGAGACTTTAGTGGAGGCTGGAGGTCGGGGAGACTTTAGTGGAGGCTGGAGGTCGGGGAGACTTTAGTGGAGGCTGGAGGTCGGGGAGACTTTAGTGGAGGCTGGAGGTCGGGGAGACTTTAGCGGAGGCTGGAGGTCGCGGAGACTTTAGTGGAGGCTGGAGGTCGCGGAGACTTTAGTGGAGGCTGGAGGTCGGGGAGACTTTAGTGGAGGCTGGAGGTCGGGGAGACTTTAGCGGAGGCTGGAGGTCGCCGAGACTTTAGTGGAGGCTGGAGGTCGGGGAGACTTTAGTGGAGGCTGGAGGTCGGGGAGACTTTAGTGGAGGCTGGAGGTCGGGGAGACTTTAGTGGAGGCTGGAGGTCACGGAGACTTTAGCGGAGGCTGGAGGTCGGGGAGACTTTAGTGGAGGCTGGAGGTCGGGGAGACTTTAGTGGAGGCTGGAGGTCGCGGAGACTTTAGTGGAGGCTGGAGGTCGGGGAGACTTTAGTGGAGGCTGGAGGTCGGGGAGACTTTAGTGGAGGCTGGAGGTCGGGGAGACTTTAGTGGAGGCTGGAGGTCGCGGAGACTTTAGTGGAGGCTGGAGGTCGCCGAGACTTTAGCGGAGAATGGAGGTTGCAGAGACTTCATCAGAGGCTGGAGGTCACGGCGCGGTGCCCCGACGCGACTCCCAGGCTTGTTCTCTGCGAATCTAACCAGTCTCCGAACCTCCCAATGACCTCCCTAAGGTAAGGCACTGGTTCAACGCGGTCCTGCTCTAATATTTTGTATAAAGTTTTTTTGACATGTCTGCCAACTAGTGGCAGGGAGTATGAATGAATGTTGACAGTCTGCCTGACACACACGGCCATTTTAAACAGTACCGCAGCTTGTCGACTTGGTGTCCGTGTCGCCTAGAGGGTTAAGGGAGAACAGCAATCTGTGGCGGTCGGTTTTGAATCCGTGGCGCACCGCCTCAGATTAGCCTATGTGTGGGAAACAGTGGTAAAACATTGATGTGGATCTGCAGTTACAGAGAGTGCTCCAGAATCTGCAGCAGGGGAACGAGACGTTGGCAGCTGCCATTGAAAGTAACTTGGCCAATCCGGGTCAGATGTCTGCTGCACACTCCAGCTCCTACGCCGCTCACAGTGACAGTAACACCTTCGCTGAGGTAGAACCACAGGCTTCATGTAACACTTTACTGTTGTCAATATATGTGTTTGAAAAGTGACCGTGTGTTTTAGAAACTTCTGGACCGGTTTGAATACGAGGATGAACCTGAGGACAAAGCCAGAGAGAGCCATGCCCAGCTCCTGTGAGTCTCTCTCCTCATGAACTGTGTCTCCCCCACATCCTCTGAGTCTGTGGTCTTTGCAGAAGCATCGCTGAGAACGTCCTCAAACAGTTTGCAGAGACGCTGCCGAACACACACGACCCTCAGACACATGTGATGCATGATGGGAGCCTCTCACATCCAGGGCCTGACGTGTTCACTGCTGTAGAGGAGCCCTACACACGGGTAAAGCTTCCTCCTTATATCGCAGTCAGAGTTCAGCTTCTGAGTCATGTGACCGTCTGTGCTCCTCTCCCTCAGGAGCCGCTCAGAGACGACTCTCCTGTGAGGAGAAACAGCAGACACAGAAGCTACGGCAGAAGGTCCAGATCTCGCTCCAGGTATCATCCCAGAACCTTTATATCATTATTATGTATGTGAGTGTCAGCCCTCATGAGTTTGACTGTTCCAGATCTCCTCGGAGGAGGCGTTCTCGCTCCTCCTCACGCTCCAGAACATCCAGACACAGACCCGCTCGCTCTGGCTCCAAAGAGCAACGCAAGAGGTCTCGTTCTCTGGACCGCAGCGAGCGTGAGAAAGAGAGAGAGCGCAGACAGAGAGGCCTCCCCACCATCAAGGACCAGACTCTGAGCGGTGAGAGACCATGGAGCTGATCAGGTCTTCATCTGAGTCCACTCACACAGTCCTTACCTCATGAACAATATTCATTTGTTCTTTCTAAAAAGAGGTTTTGATAAAAGGTATAGTGCTTGGATAGTAAAGAGCAGAGAGTTACTTTTTCTTTGCATTTCCCCATTTATGTAAACACCCTCCATCTCTCCGTGCGCCGCCTTAAACCCTCAGACTGATCAAGAGGTCGAGGATCAAACACAAACTGACCTTTTGAATCTGACTTTTCAGAGAAATGAGCTGAATAGATAACTGCATGATGGAACGATAAGCTCCTCTCTGAGCTGGTGTTGGTTTCCCCGAGGAGCGAGGGTTAAGGTCAGGGTTAGGGTTGCTTCCCGCTTGATGGCCTTGAATGCCATGCTACCTACAGCCGGTTTAGACATTGTGTGACGTCATAGAGAGCTGATGTTTGTGTGTATCAGTTTGCAGCACCACTCTGTGGGTGGGTCAGCTGGACAAGAAGACTCAGCAGACTGATATCATGTTGCTCCTGGAAGACTTTGGACAGATCGAGTCTATAAACGTAAGCTCCAGTTCGTTCCTACAGTCTCCAGAGTCTGATGCTGACACTGAATGTTGTAAATAGATGATTCCACCCAGAGGCTGCGCGTACATCGTCATGATCCACCGACAGGACGCTCACACGGCTCTGAACAAGCTCAGCCGCTCTCCGTTCAGAGTCAATCAGAAGCCCTTTAAGGTGAAGGCCCTGGACACACATCCTGTTGTGTCCTCTGTCTCTGTATCTCTCTGTCTCTCTGACTGTCTCTGTCTCTCTGTGTCCTCTGTCTCTGTATCTCTCTGTCTCTCTGACTGTCTCTGTCTCTCTGTGTCCTCTGTCTCTGTATCTCTCTGTCTCTCTGACTGTCTCTGTCTCTCTGTGTCCTCTGTCTCTGTATCTCTCTGTCTCTCTGTGTCTCCGAGTCTCTGACTGTCTCTGTCTCTCTGTGTCTCCGACTGTCTCTCTCTGTCTCTCTCTGTCTCTCTGTGTCTCCGACTGTCTCTCTCTGTCTCTGTCTCTCTGTGTCTCTGTCTCTCTGTGTCTCTGACTGTCTCTCTCTGTCTCTCTGTGTCTCTCTCTGTCTCTCTGTGTCTCTCTGTGTCTCCGGGTCTCTGACTGTCTCTGTCTCTCTGTGTCTCTGACTGTCTCTCTCTGTCTCTCTGTGTCTCTCTGTGTCTCCGGGTCTCTGACTGTCTCGCTGTCTCTCTGTCTCCCTGCCTGTCTCTGTCCACAGATTGCCTGGGCTCTGAACAAAGGCATTAGATCTGCTCATAAGAAGCTGTGGGACGTGGAGCAGGGAGTGACCTACATCCCCTGGAACAAGGTGAAGGTGGAGGACCTGGACAGTTACAGAGAAGGAGGCATGCTGGACCCAGACTCTGTGAACCCAGGTACCACTCTGCACACTGTAACTCTCACCCCTCTCTCTCCTCTCTCTCCTCTCTCCTCCTCTCTCCTCCTCTCTCCCCCTCTCTCCTCCTCTCTCCTCCTCTCTCTCCTCTCTCTCCTCTCTCTCCTCTCTCCTCCTCTCTCCTCCTCTCTCTCCCTCTCTCCCCCCTCTCTCCTCCTCTCTCTCCTCTCTCCTCCTCCTCTCTCTCCCTCTCTCTCCTCCTCCTCCTCTCCTCCTCCTCTCTCCTCCTCTCTCTCCTCTCCTCTCTCTCCTCTCTCTCCTCTCTCTCCTCTCTCTCCTCTCTCAATCCTCTCTCCTCTCTCTCTCCTCTCCTCACTCCTCTCTCTCCTCTCTCTCCTCTCTCCTCTCTCCTCTCTCTCTCCTCTCTCTCCTCTCCTCTCCTCTCTCCTCCTCTCTCCTCTCTCTCCTCCTCTCTCCTCCTCTCGCTCCTCTCTCTCTCCCCTCTCCTCCTCCTCTCTCTCTCCCTCTCTCCTCCTTTCTCCTCTTTCCTCTCCTCTCTCTCTCCTCCTCTCTCCTCCTCATCTCCTCCTCTCTCTCCTCTCTCCTCCTCTCTCTCCTCTCTCCTCCTCTCTCTCCCTCTCTCCTCCTCTCTCTCCTCTCCTCTCTCCCCCCCTCTCCTCCTCTCTCTCCTCCTCTCTCCTCCTCTCTCCTCCTCTCTCTCCTCTCTCTCCCTCCTTTCCTCTCTCCTCTCTCTCCTCTCGTCTCCTCTCTCTCCTCCTCTCTCCTCTTTCCTCCTCTCTCTCTCCTCCTCTCTCACTCCCTCCTCTCTCTCCTCTCTCCTCCTCTCTCCTCCTCTCTCCTCCTCTCTCTCCTCTCTCTCCTCTCTCCTCCTCTCTCTCCCTCTCTCCTCCTCTCCTCTCTCTCCCTCTCTCTCTCCTCTCTCTCCTCTTCTCTCCTCTCTCTCCTCTCTCCTCCTCTCGTCCCTCTCTCTCCTCATCTCTCTCCTCACTCTCTCTCTCTCCTCTCTCTCTCTCCTCTCTCTCACCTCTCCTCCCTCTCTCTCCTCTCTCTCCTCCTCCTCTCTCCCTCTCTCTCTCCTCTCTCCTCCTCTCTCTCCTCCTCTCTCCTCTCATCTCCTCCGTCTCTCCTCCTCTCTCCTCTCTCCTCTCTCTCCTCTCTCCTCCTCCTCTCTCCTCCCTCTCCTCCTCTCCTCCTCTCTCCGCCTCTCTCTCAATCCTCCTCTCTCCTCTCTCTCCTCCTCTCTCCCCTCTCCTCCTCTCTCTCTCCTCCTCTCTCCTCCTCCTCTCCTCCTCTCTCTCCTCCTCTCCTCACAGTCTCTCCTCCAATCCTCTCTCCTCCTCTCTCTCCTCCTCTCCTCCCTCTCTCCTCCTCTCTCCTCTCCTCTCTCTCCTCCTCTCTCCTCTCTCTCCTCTCTCCTCCTCCTCTCTCCTCCTCACTCTCCTCTCCTCCTCTCTCTCCTCCTCTCTCTCCTCCTCTCTCTCCTCTCCTCTCTCTCGCTCCTCCTCTCTCTCCTCGCCTCCTCTCTCTCCTCCTCTCTCCTTCTCATCCTCTCCTCTCTCTCCTCCTCTCTCCTCTCTCTCCTCCTCTCTCTCTCCTCCTCCTCTCTCTCCTCCTCCTCCTCCTTCTCTCTCCTCCTCTCTCTCCTCTCCTCCTCTCTCCTCCTCCTCTCTCCTCTCTCTCGTCTCCTCCTCTCTCCCCTCCTCCTCTCTCTCTCCTCCTCTCTCACTCTCCTCCTCTCTCTCCTCCTCTCTCACAGTGTCCTCCTCCTCTCTCTCCTCTCTCCAGTTGTCCAGTGGGGTCAGTGTTGGTGTTGGAGGACTTCTGCGAGACGTGAAGAACAAAGCTGTGCTGTGCAAACCGCTCACTCTGACCAAAGCCACGTACTGCAAACCACACATGCAGAGCAAGACGCTGCAGACAGGTACCTGCTCCTCCTCTGCACCTCCTCTGCTCCTGCTCCTCCTCTTCCTCTGAGCCTGTTCCTCGCACAGAGACTAGAGGACTGAGTTAGTTGGTTTAAATCTTTTCGAGGAGACAGGAAGTACTTTGAGATTGATCTCCGTGTCTCAGATCATAGGGTTCTGACTTGTAGCTTTTTCTTCCCTGGACCTTCATTACAGAGGACAACTAAAAAACAGATATCTCTTAAAATGATGGAAACATTTGTGGAAATGAAGAAAATGAGAGCATCCTGTACTTTATGATCTGACAAAGATGTGATCCGTCCACATGAACACAGTCAGAAAAAAGAGCGCTGAACCGAGACGAGGATCTTACTTTTGACCGTTTCCATAGTTACAGGAGGTTTTTCAGTTGCGCTCCACCACAATGTGAAAGTAGAGGCAGTTTTGAAACACGGGAAGCGTATTTCATATGTTTGCAGCTAAAATATTGAGGTCCTCCTAAAATTGTGAGACTATGTTTTTACTTATGTTACTATTTGAATGTGTTCTTGTTTTGTGAAGCACTTTGAGTGGCCCTGTGTATGAACTGTGCTATACAAATAAGTTGCCTGATCCTCAGATGTGGACGACGGTGTGAAGAGGGAGTATGTGCCCGTGCCCATCCCAGTGCCCGTCTTTGTGCCCATGCCCATGAACATGTACTCACAACTGACCCCAGCACCACTCACACTGCCTCTGCCGGTAACGCACACACACCCCCGCAGACACACACACACACGTACAGACCCACACATGCGCAGACACACACACACGTACAGACCCACACATGCACACGCACAGACACACACACCTGCAGACACACATGGACCCACGGACACACCTGCAGACACACATGGACCCACGGACACACCTGCAGACACACAAATGTAAACACGTACAGACACGATCACTGAAACAGCCTCTGACCAGTGCCTTAGCCTCGTCCTCACACCTGTGTGTTCTTCAGGTCCCCGTGCCGGTGTTTGTGCCCACCAACTTCCAGAGGCTGCACCAACAGCGCAACTGCAAGGAGACCAAACCAGGTACCAGCCCCACTGAGGGAGGAGGGGACCCCAGAGTTCTCACCACAAACTTCGGGTCAGGCCAAAGCGCTGTGACCCTCAGTGACCAGCGCTCATCTCCACTGGACATTCTACTACAGATAAACAAATAGATCATAGGAAAGGTTTCGACTGCACATTTCACATGAACTATTGAGCTAAAAGATGAAGAGATCGTTTATTGGTCCCACAGTGGGGAAATGTCAGTGTTGCATCACCCATTACATGTGGGTCTACATTGCACATTCTGACATTAGTTCAATATACATTTATAAAACCTGACCTGAAAACCTGGTCTGGTACAGATCTAGACCAGCGCTGAATCCAAATCCATAATAAATCCTCCTCAGTTGATAAATGTGTGTGTGCAGAGGTGAAGCAGGAGCGCGCAGAGGAGGACCTGGACCTGGACCTGGACCTGGAGACTGACTTCTGCCCTGGTACGGCCTCCTTCAGAACTGCATGCTCACACTCTTATTTGATTTATTTTTTTAATCTCAAAGGTCTCATATTTTGCTCTTCTTCAAGTCCGTCCTAAATCATTTGGGTGATACACCATACAGCACTCACTTGAATCTTGAATCAGACCCTAATTATTTAGTAAACGGCTCACTCCACACTAAACTGCATCCATGTGTTACATTTTAATCAATGACACAAGAAAGTCCCGAAATGCCCGCAGCCGTCACTGCTGAATGTTCACAGACCCACTACTGTTTTGTTTCCAGCTTGTTTGTCCAGTGGAGGGCGCTCTACTTAAACACAGATTCATTCACGCCCGTATTATTAACAGCGGTCCAAGACGTCGTTTTGGACGTAACAAAAGTGGACACGATTTTGTTACGTCCTAAACGCCTAGTTTGTCTGCAGTTATTGAATTTTTTTTTTGCATAATGTAAAATCTATAATTACATATTGATAATAGTTTTATCTTCAACCATTAAACATTAAATAGTCTTCTCTGTCCTGTTCATTCTTCCATTCACAAAGCCTCCAACACGACATGTCCTAAATGTAACAATTATGTCCCCAAAGTTCAATACAATTTTTTTTTTTTTTAAAGGGATCCATTTTTCTTGAAATAGTTTTAGCGGCCCTTCTGAGATTATACTATGTAGATATAGGCTACATAGTATAACATTTTTTTCAGGTACAAACATTTTTAGTTCATACATTTATTTTATTGAAGTTAGATCGACCAATGGTACAGTTGAGTGTGGAGTGAGCCAATTACAGCAGAATACGTTAGTTGCACTGTACCTCATTAGTGTCTTTTATGGTGGGAATAACAGGGGTTTGAGTCCGTCCAGTTTTATGGTAACTGTAGTTCTGGTTGATGAAGTGTCACTCGCAGATGACCAGATTTGTGGTGGATTTTCAGAGTCAGATCCTGTGAATAAAGTCCAGCCACATACGCCGCATTCTTCATCTGTGGTGTCTAGCTCTCTAACTAAAGCTTGAGGGAATCAATGAAAAAACTTCTTTGGGCATGTGTAGGAAGTGCCAACGAGCACTTTGATTATGTTTTAAAGCAGAGAAATGTCGAAAAGCGTAACATGGGACTTTTAATCAAGATTATTTGTCCATAAAGGCTCTGTTCCATCCGGAGTCCCACGGCTGCTGTTTCAACCTCAAACAAAGCAGCTGTTATTGGAAGCATTAACTTAAGCTGATGTTGGTGAAAACGCCGAGAACATCTGGGTCTTCATTGAGGCGTGTGTGTTCCCCCAGAGTCCTGCAGAGCCGATGCCCCAGCCCCCGCTCCGTCGGAGGAGGAGGCCGCCTCGCCGCACCCTCAGCCCGCCTCCCTGGTATGTGCTTTGTCCACTGCAGCTGATACTTCAGTTTTCACTTCAAAGGACGAGCAGTACGACAGTGGCTCAGTTGGTAGAGCATTGGCCTTTGAGTCTGGAGGTCCTGGGTTCTAGCCCACCACAAGACTCCCACTGAAGTCTGCTGTCATTGTGTCCTTGGGCAAGACACTTAGGCTATATCCACACAAAGACAAAACGCTTATAATTTCAGAAACTTTTTCTGCGAGCTTTTTCAGTCGCTTTGATGCTGCCCCTGACACCTCTCCCTCCCCCACCCCCCACTACTCTAACGACCCACCCATCAGCCCTGCCCCCAGCCTAACAATAGCCGCTAAAGAGATTAAACAACTCTTCCTGAGGCTGCACCCCCGCAAAGCTCCTGGCCCGGACCACGTGTCTCCGGCCACTCTGAGACACTGCGCCAGTGAGCTTACTCCTGTGTTCACGGACATTTTCAACACCTCTCTCTGCAGTCCTGCCATGTCCCGGCCTGCTTCAAATCCTCCATCATTGTCCCCGTCCCGAAGAAGCCCAGGATCACAGGACTCAATGACTACAGACCTGTAGCACTTACGTCTGTCGTCATGAAGTCATTTGAACGCCTGGTTCTCTCCCATCTCAAGTCCTTCACCTCCCCCCTCCTGGACCCCCTGCAGTTCGCCTACAGAGCCAACAGATCTGTAGACGACGCCATTAACCTGGCCCTCCACCACATCCTACAGCACCTGGACTCCCCGGGGACCTACGCCAGGGTCCTGTTCGTGGACTTCAGCTCTGCCTTCAACACAATCCTGCCATCCCTGCTCCAGGACAAGCTCTCCCAGCTCAACGTGCCCGATTCCACCTGCAGGTGGATCACTGACTTCCTGACGGACAGGAAGCAGCGAGTGCGTCTGGGGAAGAATGTCTCGGACTCTCGGATTATAAATACAGGAGCCCCACAGGGCTGTGTTCTTTCTCCCCTGCTCTTCTCCCTGTACACCAACCACTGCACCTCCAGCCACGACTCTGTGAAGCTGATCAAGTTCACGGACGACACCACCCTCATTGGACTCATCTCCAACAACGATGAGTCCGCCTACAGGAGGGAGGTGGACCGGCTGGTGTCTCCTACAGGAGGGAGGTGGACCGGCTGGTGTCCTGGTGTCTCCTACAGGAGGGAGGTGGACCGGCTGGTGTCCTGGTGTCTCCTACAGGAGGGAGGTGGACCGGCTGGTGTCCAGGTGTCTCCTACAGGAGGGAGGTGGACCGGCTGGTGTCCTGGTGTCTCCTACAGGAGGGAGGTGGACCGGCTGGTGTCCTGGTGTCTCCTACAGGAGGGAGGTGGACCGGCTGGTGTCCTGGTGCAGTGGTAACAACCTGGAGCTGAACGCCCAGAAGACAGTGGAGATGATTGTGGACTTCAGGAAGAGCACTGTCCCCCCGCCCCCACCCTCCGTGATGGACTCCCCCATCACCTCTGTGGAGTCCTTCCGTTTCCTGGGAATCATCAGCTCCCTCATCAAGAAGGCCCAGCAGAGGATGTACTTCCTGCGGCAGCTCAGGAAAGCCAAGCTGCAGTTCTACACGGCCATCATCGAGTCCATCCTCACCTCCTCCATCACCTCCTCCGTCACCTCCTCCGTCACCTCCTCCATCACCTCCTCCATCACCTCCTCCATCACCTCCTCCATCACCTCCTCCATCACCTCCTCCATCACCGTGTGGTTCGCTGGAGCCACAGTCAGGGACAAACAGAGACTACAGTGCATTGTGCGCTCTGCAGAGGAAGTGATCGGCCGCAGCCTTCCATCGCTGCAGGACCTGTACGTCGCCCGAGCTCGAGGCCGGGCTGGTCGTATCACAGCCGACCCCTCTCACCTGCACATGGACTATTCCAACCACTCCCCTCTCACCTGCACATGGACTATTCCAACCACTCCCCTCTCACCCTGCACATGGACTATTCCAACCACTCCCCTCTCACCTGCACATGGACTATTCCAACCACTCCCCTCTCACCTGCACATGGACTATTCCAACCACTCCCCTCTCACCTGCACATGGACTATTCCAACCACTCCCCTCTCACCTGCACATGGACTATTCCAACCACTCCCCTCTCACCTGCACATGGACTATTCCAACCACTCCCCTCTCACCTGCACATGGACTATTCCAACCACTCCCCTCTCACCCTGCACATGGACTATTCCAACCACTCCCCTCTCACCCTGCACATGGACTATTCCAACCACTCCCCTCTCACCTGCACATGGACTATTCCAACCACTCCCCTCTCACCTGCACATGGACTATTCCAACCACTCCCCTCTCACCTGCACATGGACTATTCCAACCACTCCCCTCTCACCTGCACATGGACTATTCCAACCACTCCCCTCTCACCTGCACATGGACTATTCCAACCACTCCCCTCTCACCTGCACATGGACTATTCCAACCACTCCCCTCTCACCTGCACATGGACTATTCCAACCACTCCCCTCTCACCTGCACATGGACTATTCCAACCACTCCCCTCTCACCTGCACATGGACTATTCCAACCACTCCCCTCTCACCTGCACATGGACTATTCCAACCACTCCCCTCTCACCTGCACATGGACTATTCCAACCACTCCCCTCTCACCTGCACATGGACTATTCCAACCACTCCCCTCTCACCTGCACATGGACTATTCCAACCACTCCCTTCTCACCCTGCACATGGACTATTCCAACCACTCCCCTCTCACCTGCACATGGACTATTCCAACCACTCCCCTCTCACCTGCACATGGACTATTCCAACCACTCCCCTCTCACCTGCACATGGACTATTCCAACCACTCCCCTCTCACCTGCACATGGACTATTCCAACCACTCCCCTCTCACCTGCACATGGACTATTCCAACCACTCCCCTCTCACCTGCACATGGACTATTCCAACCACTCCCCTCTCACCTGCACATGGACTATTCCAACCACTCCCCTCTCACCCTGCACATGGACTATTCCAACCACTCCCCTCTCACCTGCACATGGACTATTCCAACCACTCCCCTCTCACCTGCACATGGACTATTCCAACCACTCCCCTCAGGCAGGAGGCTGCGGTCCATCAGGACTAGAACCTCCCGCCACAAGAACAGTTTCTTCCCCTCTGCTGTTGGACTCTTGAACACTTCTTAACCTGTCCCCCCGCCCTTTATAAAGTCACTTTACTGCCCATCATACGTCACTTTACTTCACTGTACTGCTGTCACCTTACATTGTGTGCACCATGTGCACTTGTATATTGTAAATAGTAACTGTAACTCTATTTTAAATTTAAATTTATTCTTTAGAAGTGTTTTTTATTCTTATTTTTATTATCTCTTTTTGACTGTTGCACTGAGCCAAAGCAATTTCCTAGTCTGTGACCTCCCGTTACTTACGTTGGCAATAAAAATGATTCTGATTCTGATTCTGATTCTGACACACACAGCACCACACACTACCCACAGAGACGCACACTCTTACCACAGGTACACACACAGCACCACACACTACCCTCAGAGACGCACACTCTTACCACAGGTACACACACAGCACCACACACTACCCTCAGAGACGCACACTCTTACCACAGGTACACACACTACCCACAGAGACGCACACTCTTACCACAGGTACACACACAGCACCACACACTACCCTCAGAGACGCACACTCTTACCACAGGTACACACACAGCACCACACACTACCCTCAGAGACGCACACTCTTACCACAGGTACACACACTACCCACAGAGACGCACACTCTTACCACAGGTACACACACAGCACCACACACTACCCTCAGAGACGCACACTCTTACCACAGGTACACACACAGCACCACACACTACCCTCAGAGACGCACACTCTTACCACAGGTACACACACAGCACCACACACTACCCACAGAGACGCACACTCTTACCACAGGTACACACACAGCACCACACACTACCCACAGAGACGCACACTCTTACCACAGGTACACACACTACCCTCAGAGACGCACACTCTTACCACAGGTACACACACAGCACCACACACTACCCTCAGAGACGCACACTCTTACCACAGGTACACACACAGCACCACACACTACCCACAGAGACGCACACTCTTACCACAGGTACACACACAGCACCACACAGTACCCTCAGAGACGCACACTCTTACCACAGGTACACACACTACCCTCAGAGACGCACACTCTTACCACAGGTACACACACTACCCTCAGAGACGCACACTCTTACCACAGGTACACACACAGCACCACACACTACCCTCAGAGACGCACACTCTTACCACAGGTACACACACAGCACCACACACTACCCTCAGAGACGCACACTCTTACCACAGGTACACACACAGCACCACACACTACCCTCAGAGACGCACACTCTTACCACAGGTACACACACTACCCTCAGAGACGCACACTCTTACCACAGGTACACACACAGCACCACACACTACCCTCAGAGACGCACACTCTTACCACAGGTACACACACAGCACCACACACTACCCACAGAGACGCACACTCTTACCACAGGTACACACACAGCACCACACACTACCCTCAGAGACGCACACTCTTACCACAGGTACACACACTACCCACAGAGACGCACACTCTTACCACAGGTACACACACAGCACCACACACTACCCTCAGAGACGCACACTCTTACCACAGGTACACACACAGCACCACACACTACCCTCAGAGACGCACACTCTTACCACATGTACACACACAGCATCACACACTACCCTCAGAGACGCACACTCTTACCACAGGTACACACACTACCCTCAGAGACGCACACTCTTACCACAGGTACACACACAGCACCACACACTACCCTCAGAGACGCACACTCTTACCACAGGTACACACACAGCACCACACACTACCCTCAGAGACGCACACTCTTACCACAGGTACACACACAGCACCACACACTACCCTCAGAGACGCACACTCTTACCACAGGTACACACACTACCCTCAGAGACGCACACTCTTACCACAGGTACACACACAGCACCACACACTACCCTCAGAGACGCACACTCTTACCACAGGTACACACACAGCACCACACACTACCCACAGAGACGCACACTCTTACCACAGGTACACACACAGCACCACACACTACCCTCAGAGACGCACACTCTTACCACAGGTACACACACTACCCACAGAGACGCACACTCTTACCACAGGTACACACACAGCACCACACACTACCCTCAGAGACGCACACTCTTACCACAGGTACACACACAGCACCACACACTACCCTCAGAGACGCACACTCTTACCACATGTACACACACAGCATCACACACTACCCTCAGAGACGCACACTCTTACCACAGGTACACACACTACCCTCAGAGACGCACACTCTTACCACAGGTACACACACAGCACCACACACTACCCTCAGAGACGCACACTCTTACCACAGGTACACACACAGCACCACACACTACCCTCAGAGACGCACACTCTTACCACAGGTACACACACTACCCTCAGAGACGCACACTCTTACCACAGGTACACACACAGCACCACACACTACCCTCAGAGACGCACACTCTTACCACAGGTACACACACAGCACCACACACTACCCACAGAGACGCACACTCTTACCACAGGTACACACACAGCACCACACACTACCCACAGAGACGCACACTCTTACCACAGGTACACACACTACCCTCAGAGACGCACACTCTTACCACAGGTACACACACAGCACCACACACTACCCTCAGAGACGCACACTCTTACCACAGGTACACACACAGCACCACACACTACCCACAGAGACGCACACTCTTACCACAGGTACACACACAGCACCACACAGTACCCTCAGAGACGCACACTCTTACCACAGGTACACACACTACCCTCAGAGACGCACACTCTTACCACAGGTACACACACTACCCTCAGAGACGCACACTCTTACCACAGGTACACACACAGCACCACACACTACCCTCAGAGACGCACACTCTTACCACAGGTACACACACAGCACCACACACTACCCTCAGAGACGCACACTCTTACCACAGGTACACACACAGCACCACACACTACCCTCAGAGACGCACACTCTTACCACAGGTACACACACAGCACCACACACTACCCTCAGAGACGCACACTCTTACCACAGGTACACACACAGCACCACACACTACCCACAGAGACGCACACTCTTACCACAGGTACACACACAGCACCACACACTACCCTCAGAGACGCACACTCTTACCACAGGTACACACACAGCACCACACACTACCCACAGAGACGCACACTCTTACCACAGGTACACACACAGCACCACACAGTACCCTCAGAGACGCACACTCTTACCACAGGTACACACACTACCCTCAGAGACGCACACTCTTACCACAGGTACACACACTACCCTCAGAGACGCACACTCTTACCACAGGTACACACACAGCACCACACACTACCCTCAGAGACGCACACTCTTACCACAGGTACACACACAGCACCACACACTACCCTCAGAGACGCACACTCTTACCACAGGTACACACACAGCACCACACACTACCCTCAGAGACGCACACTCTTACCACAGGTACACACACAGCACCACACACTACCCTCAGAGACGCACACTCTTACCACAGGTACACACACAGCACCACACACTACCCACAGAGACGCACACTCTTACCACAGGTACACACACAGCACCACACACTACCCTCAGAGACGCACACTCTTACCACAGGTACACACACAGCACCACACACTACCCTCAGAGACGCACACTCTCTCTACTGTCTCTCTCTGGTCTCTCTCTGGTCTCTCTCTGGTCTCTCTCTGGTCTCTCTCTGGTCTCTCTCTCTGGTCTCTCTGGTCTCTCTCGCTGGTCTCTCTCTGGTCTCTCTCTGGTCTCTCTCTCTGGTCTCTCTCTGGTCTCTCTCTGGTCTCTCTCTGGTCTCTCTCTGGTCTCTCTCTGGTCTCTCTCTGGTCTCTCTCTGGTCTCTCTCTGGTCTCTCTCTGGTCTCTCTCTCTGGTCTCTCTCTGGTCTCTCTCTGGTCTCTCTCTGGTCTCTCTCTGGTCTCTCTCTCTGGTCTCTCTCTGGTCTCTCTCTGGTCTCTCTCTCTGGTCTCTCTCTCTGGTCTCTCTCTGGTCTCTCTCTGGTCTCTCTCTGGTCTCTCTCTGGTCTCTCTCTGGTCTCTCTCTGGTCTCTCTCTGGTCTCTCTCTGGTCTCTCTCTGGTCTCTCTCTCTGGTCTCTCTCTGGTCTCTCTCTGGTCTCTCTCGCTGGTCTCTCTGGTCTCTCTCGCTGGTCTCTCTGGTCTCTCTCGCTGGTCTCTCACATAGTTGTGTTTTTATAGAAGGATGAGGCTCTTTTCCAAACAGACGACATCAAAGACCCTCAGAACGTCTACGACCCTCGCTTCCTGCTCCCTCTGTTCAGCTCCATCCTGAGACCAGGTACACACACACACACACACACACACACACACACAAACACACACTGACCTCTGACCCCTGACCCCTCAGAGTGTGTGGTGGACTGCCTGAGGTTCGTGTCTTGTGGGGCCCTGGGCTTCAGCATCATGGCCCTGAGCAGCCATGACCCCAGCACCAGAGCTGCAGCGTATCACGTCATGACCTGCTTCTACCACCAGGTGGAGGCAGCGCGCTTCAGGGAGCAGAGGCAGGCAAGTGCAGCGTCACAGAGTTAGACATGTAGGTTTATCAGGAGGATCAGAGAGGAGCACCTCCTGCAGGAGGATCAAAGAGGAGCACCTCCTGCAGGAGGATCAGAGAGGAGCTCCTCCTGCAGGAGGATCATAGAGGAGCTCCTCCTGCAGGAGGATCATAGAAGAGCACCTCCTGCAGGAGGATCAAAGAGGAGCACCTCCTGCAGGAGGATCAGAGAGGAGCACCTCCTGCCGGAGGATCAAAGAGGAGCACCTCCTGCCGGAGGATCAAAGAGGAGCACCTCCTGCAGGAGGATCATAGAGGAGCTCCTCCTGCAGGAGGATCATAGAGGAGCACCTCCTGCAGGAGGATCAGAGAGGAGCACCTCCTGCAGGAGGATCAGAGAGGAGCACCTCCTGCAGGAGGATCAGAGAGGAGCACCTCCTGCAGGAGGATCAGAGAGGAGCACCTCCTGCAGGAGGATCAGAGAGGAGCACCTCCTGCAGGAGGATCAGAGAGGAGCACCTCCTGCAGGAGGATCAAAGAGGGGCACCTCCTGCAGGAGGATCAAAGAGGGGCACCTCCTGCAGGAGGATCAGAGAGGAGCACCTCCTGCAGGAGGATCAGAGAGGAGCACCTCTTGCAGGAGGATCATAGAGGAGCTCCTCCTGCAGGAGGATCATAGAAGAGCACCTCCTGCAGGAGGATCAAAGAGGAGCACCTCCTGCAGGAGGATCAGAGAGGAGCACCTCCTGCCGGAGGATCAAAGAGGAGCACCTCCTGCCGGAGGATCAAAGAGGAGCACCTCCTGCAGGAGGATCATAGAGGAGCTCCTCCTGCAGGAGGATCATAGAGGAGCACCTCCTGCAGGAGGATCAGAGAGGAGCACCTCCTGCAGGAGGATCAGAGAGGAGCACCTCCTGCAGGAGGATCAGAGAGGAGCACCTCCTGCAGGAGGATCAGAGAGGAGCACCTCCTGCAGGAGGATCAAAGAGGGGCACCTCCTGCAGGAGGATCAAAGAGGGGCACCTCCTGCAGGAGGATCAGAGAGGAGCACCTCCTGCAGGAGGATCAGAGAGGAGCACCTCTTGCAGGAGGATCAGAGAGGAGCACCTCTTGCAGGAGGATCAGAGAGGAGCACCTCCTGCAGGAGGATCAGAGAGGAGCACCTCCTGCAGGAGGATCAGAGAGGAGCACCTCCTGCAGGAGGATCAGAGAGGAGCACCTCCTGCAGGAGGATCAAAGAGGAGCACCTCCTGCAGGAGGATCAAAGAGGAGCACCTCCTGCAGGAGGATCAGAGAGGAGCACCTCCTGCAGGAGGATCAAAGAGGAGCACCTCCTGCAGGAGGATCAGAGAGGAGCACCTCCTGCAGGAGGATCAAAGAGGAGCACCTCCTGCAGGAGGATCAGAGAGGAGCACCTCCTGCAGGAGGATCATAGAGGAGCTCCTCCTGCAGGAGGATTCATAGAGGAGCACCTCCTGCAGGAGGATCAGAGAGGAGCACCTCTTGCAGGAGGATCAGAGAGGAGCACCTCTTGCAGGAGGATCAGAGAGGAGCACCTCCTGCAGGAGGATCAGAGAGGAGCACCTCCTGCAGGAGGATCAAAGAGGAGCACCTCCTGCAGGAGGATCAGAGAGGAGCACCTCCTGCAGGAGGATCAAAGAGGAGCACCTCCTGCAGGAGGATCAGAGAGGAGCACCTCCTGCAGGAGGATCATAGAGGAGCTCCTCCTGCAGGAGGATCATAGAGGAGCACCTCCTGCAGGAGGATCAGAGAGGAGCACCTCCTGCAGGAGGATCAGAGAGGAGCACCTCTTGCAGGAGGATCAGAGAGGAGCACCTCCTGCAGGAGGATCAAAGAGGAGCACCTCCTGCAGGAGGATCAGAGAGGAGCACCTCCTGCAGGAGGATCAAAGAGGGGCACCTCCTGCAGGAGGATCAAAGAGGAGCACCTCCTGCAGGAGGATCAAAGAGGAGCACCTCCTGCAGGAGGATCAAAGAGGGGCACCTCCTGCAGGAGGATCAAAGAGGAGCACCTCCTGCAGGAGGATCAAAGAGGAGCACCTCCTGCAGGAGGATCAAAGAGGAGCACCTCCTGCAGGAGGATCAGAGAGGAGCACCTCCTGCAGGAGGATCAAAGAGGAGCACCTCCTGCAGGAGGATCAAAGAGGAGCACCTCCTGCAGGAGGATCAGAGAGGAGCACCTCCTGCAGGAGGATCAAAGAGGAGCACCTCTTGCAGGAGGATCAAAGAGGAGCACCTCCTGCAGGAGGATCAAAGAGAAGCACCTCCTGCAGGAGGATCAAAGAGGAGCACCTCCTGCAGGAGGATCAGAGAGGAGCACCTCCTGCAGGAGGATCAAAAAGGAGCACCTCTTGCAGGAGGATCAAAGAGGAGCACCTCCTGCAGGAGGATCAAAGAGGAGCACCTCCTGCAGGAGGATCAAAGAGAAGCACCTCCTGCAGGAGGATCAGAGAGGAGCTCCTCTCTGGTGTGTGTCTCCTGGTGTGTGCCTGGTGTGTGTCTCATGGTGTGTGTCTCCTGGTGTGTGTCTCTGGTGTGTCTCCTGGTGTGTGCCTGGTGTGTGTCTCATGGTGTGTGTCTCATGGTGTGTGTCTCATGGTGTGTGTCTCCTGGTGTGTGTCTCCTGGTGTCTCATGGTGTGTGTCTCCTGGTGTCTCCTGTTGTGTGTCTCCTGGTGTCTCATGGTGTGTGTCTCCTGGTGTGTGTCTCATGGTGTGTGTCTCCTGGTGTCTCATGGTGTGTGTCTCATGGTGTGTGTCTCCTGGTGTCTCATGGTGTGTGTCTCCTGGTGTCTCCTGGTGTGTGTCTCATGGTGTGTGTCTCCTGGTGTCTCATGGTGTGTGTCTCCTGGTGTCTCATGGTGTGTGTCTCATGGTGTGTGTCTCATGGTGTGTGTCTCATGGTGTGTGTCTCCTGGTGTCTCAGGTGCTGTACATGGTGGACCTCCTGAAGAACAGTGTCCTGCAGCAGAACCAGCGCCTGCCGTTTGTCCTGACCACGTTCATGTCCAGAGTCCTGCAGCTGGTCCTCAAACCAGGTCTGTCCTCAGTCCCACAGAGACCAGGTCTGTCCTCGGTCCCACAGAGACCAGGTCTGTCCTCGGTCCCACAGAGACCAGGTCTGTCCTTGGTCCCACAGAGACCAGGTCTGTCCTCGGTCCCACAGAGACCAGGTCTGTCCTCGGTCCCACAGAGACCAGGTCTGTCCTCGGTCCCACAGAGACCAGGTCTGTCCTCGGTCCCACAGAGACCAGGTCTGTCCTCGGTCCCACAGAGACCAGGTCTGTCCTCGGTCCCACAGAGACCAGGTCTGTCCTCGGTCCCACAGAGACCAGGTCTGTCCTCGGTCCCACAGAGACCAGGTCTGTCCTCGGTCCCACAGAGACCAGGTCTGTCCTCGGTCCCACAGAGACCAGGTCTGTCCTCGGTCCCACAGAGACCAGGTCTGTCCTCGGTCCCACAGAGACCAGGTCTGTCCTCGGTCCCACAGAGACCAGGTCTGTCCTCGGTCCCACAGAGACCAGGTCTGTCCTCGGTCCCACAGAGACCAGGTCTGTCCTCGGTCCCACAGAGACCAGGTCTGTCCTCGGTCCCACAGAGACCAGGTCTGTCCTCGGTCCCACAGAGACCAGGTCTGTCCTCGGTCCCACAGAGACCAGGTCTGTCCTCGGTCCCACAGAGACCAGGTCTGTCCTCGGTCCCACAGAGACCAGGTCTGTCCTCGGTCCCACAGAGACCAGGTCTGTCCTCGGTCCCACAGAGACCAGGTCTGTCCTCGGTCCCACAGAGACCAGGTCTGTCCTCGGTCCCACAGAGACCAGGTCTGTCCTCGGTCCCACAGAGACCAGGTCTGTCCTCGGTCCCACAGAGACCAGGTCTGTCCTCGGTCCCACAGAGACCAGGTCTGTCCTCGGTCCCACAGAGACCAGGTCTGTCCTCGGTCCCACAGAGACCAGGTCTGTCCTCGGTCCCACAGAGACCAGGTCTGTCCTCGGTCCCACAGAGACCAGGTCTGTCCTCGGCCCCCACAGAGACCAGGTCTGTCCTCGGTCCCACAGAGACCAGGTCTGTCCTCGGTCCCACAGAGACCAGGTCTGTCCTCGGTCCCACAGAGACCAGGTCTGTCCTCGGTCCCACAGAGACCAGGTCTGTCCTCGGTCCCACAGAGACCAGGTCTGTCCTCGGTCCCACAGAGACCAGGTCTGTCCTCGGTCCCACAGAGACCAGGTCTGTCCTCGGTCCCACAGAGACCAGGTCTGTCCTCGGTCCCACAGAGACCAGGTCTGTCCTCGGCCCCCACAGAGACCAGGTCTGTCCTCGGTCCCCACAGAGACCAGGTCTGTCCTCGGTCCCACAGAGACCAGGTCTGTCCTCGGTCCCACAGAGACCAGGTCTGTCCTCGGTCCCACAGAGACCAGGTCTGTCCTGGTTCTCAAATGAAACTATAATAATCTCTTTTTTCTTTCCTGTGATGCTCTTTAAATGCAAACATGTGAATTATACATAATTTATAAACATATATATTTATATTTTAACAAATAAAAAACTGAAAAGTGGGGCATGCAATATTATTCGGCCCCTTGCGCTAATACTTTGTAGCGCCACCTTTTGCTGCATTTACAGCTGCAAGTCACTTGGGGTATGTCTCTATCAGTTTTGCACATCGAGAGACTGGAATTCTTGCCCATTCTTCCTTGCAAAACAGCTGGAGCTCAGTGAGGTTGGATGGAGAGCGTTTGTGAACAGCAGTCTTCAGCTCTTTCCACAGATTCTGGATTGGATTCAGGTCTGGACTTTGACTTGGCCATTCTAACACCTGGATACGTCTATTTGTGAACCATTCCATTGTAGATTTGGCTTTATGTTTTGGATCATTGTCCTGTTGGAAGATAAATCTCCGTCCCAGTCTCAGGTCTTTTGCAGACTCCAACAGGTTTTCTTCCAGAATGGTCCTGTATTTGGCTCCATCCATCTTCCCATCAATTTTAGCCATCTTCCCTGTCCCTGCTGAAGAAAAGCAGGCCCAAAGCATGATGCTGCCACCACCATGTTTGACAGTGGGGATGGTGTGTTCAGGGTGATGAGCTGTGTTGCTTTTACGCCAAACATATCGTTTTGCATTGTGGCCAAAAAGTTTGATTTTGGTTTCATCTGACCAGAGCACCTTCTTCCACATGTTTGGTGTGTCTCCCAGGTGGCTTGTGGAAAACTTTAAACCAGACTTTTTATGGATATCTTTGAGAAATGGCTTTCTTCTTGCCACTCTTGCATAAAGGCCAGATTTGTGCAGTGCACGACTGATTGTTGTCCTATGGACAGACTCTCCCACCTCAGCTGTAGTTATCTGCAGTTCATCCAGAGTGATCATGGGCCTCTTGGCTGCATCTCTGATCAGTCTTCTCCTTGTTTGAGATGAAAGTTTGGAGGGACGGCCGGGTCTTGGTAGATTTGCAGTGGTCTGATACTCCTTCCATTTCAATATAATTGCTTGCACAGTGCTCCTTGAGATGTTTAAAGCTTGGGAAATCTTTTTGTATCCAAATCCAGCTTTAAACTTCTCCACAACAGTATCTCGGGCCTGCCTGGTGTGTTCCTTTGTCTTCATGGTTCTCTCTGTGCTTTAAACAGAACCCTGAGACTATCAAAGAGCAGGTGCATTTATACGGAGACTTGATTACACACAGGTACATTCTATTTATCATCATCAGTCATTTAGGACAACATTGGATCATTCAAAGATCCTCACTGAACTTCTGGACTGAGTTTGCTGCACTGAAAGTAAAGGGGCCCAATAATATTGCACGCCCCACTTTTCAGTTCTTTATTTGTTAAAAAAGTTTAAATTTTCCAATAAATTTTGTTCCACTTCACGATTGTGTCCCACTTGTTGTTGATTCATGACAAAAAATAACTTTTTTATATCTTTATGTTTGAAGCCTGAAATGTGGCGAAATGTTGAAAGGTTCAAGGGGGCCAAATACTTTCGCAAGCCACTGTATATATATATATACATATATATTTATAAACATATATATTTATATTTATAAATATATATGTACTGTATGAGTGTCTTCAGAGTCTAACCCTGTGTTCTCTGGACCAGAGGACCACATGTACATGGTTCTGACCCGGTTCCTGTTGTCTCACCAAAGTCTGGACTTCAGACGAGTCCCAGAGTTCTTTAAACTGTTCTACGCATCTGACCTGGAGGTAAGTGACAAGCTCTGTCTACACCTGTGCTTCTCAAACAGTGGGCCGCTCCCCTGGGGGGGGGGGTGCGATGCCAGGGGGGGCGTGACCCTGGGCTTCATGATTTTTTGCCGTACTTCATTAAAGTGTAATTGCACATCCAGTACAGCAGGTGGCAGTGGCGCTCTCGTTGTCTGAGTTAGTCTGTGGGAGGCAGGACAGTCCTTCTATAATAGTGCCACCCCCTCACTATTTGGGGGGAGCGTGACCGTGGCAAACTTACACGCTCCAGCGCCGCAGCGTGTGACCCAGAGCGTGTGACCCAGAGCGTGTGACCCAGAGCGTGTGACCCAGAGCGTGTGACCCAGAGCGTGTGACCCAGAGCGTGTGACCCAGAGCGTCTGACCCAGAGCGTTTGACCCAGAGCGTGTGACCCAGAGCGTGTGACCCAGAGCGTGTGACCCAGAGCGTCTGACCCAGAGCGTCTGACCCAGAGCGTGTGACCCAGAGCGTGTGACCCAGAGCGTCTGACCCAGAGCGTGTGACCCAGAGCGTGTGACCCAGAGCGTCTGACCCAGAGCGTCTGACCCAGAGCGTGTGACCCAGAGCGTGTGACCCAGAGCGTGTGACCCAGAGCGTCTGACCCAGAGCGTGTGACCCAGAGCGTCTGACCCAGAGCGTGTGACCCAGAGCGTGTGACCCAGAGCGTGTGACCCAGAGCGTGTGACAAATGACCGTTTGACCCAGAGCGTGTGACCCAGAGCGTGTGACCCAGAGCGTGTGACCCAGAGCGTGTGACCCAGAGCGTGTGACCCAGAGCGTGTGACCCAGAGCGTGTGACCCAGAGCGTGTGACCCAGACCGTGTGACCCAGAGCGGGTGACCCAGACCGTGTGACCCAGAGCGTGTGACCCAGAGCGTGTGACCCAGAGCGTGTGACCCTGAGCGTGTGACCCAGAGCGTGTGACCCAGAGCGTCTGACCCAGAGCGTGTGACCCAGAGCGTGTGACCCAGAGCGTGTGACCCAGAGCGTCTGACCCAGAGCGTGTGACCCAGAGCGTCTGACCCAGAGCGTGTGACCCAGACCGTTTGACCCAGAGCGTGTGACCCAGAGCGTGTGACCCAGAGCGTGTGACCCAGAGCGTGTGACCCAGAGCGTGTGACAAATGACCGTTTGACCCAGAGCGTGTGACCCAGAGCGTGTGACCCAGAGCGTGTGACCCAGAGCGTGTGACCCAGAGCGTGTGACCCAGACCGTGTGACCCAGAGCGTGTGACCCAGAGCATGTGACCCAGAGCGTGTGACAAATGACCGTTTGACCCAGAGCGTGTGACCCAGAGCGTGTGACCCGAGCGTGTGACCCAGAGCGTGTGACCCAGAGCGTGTGACCCAGACCGTGTGACCCAGAGCGTGTGACCCAGAGCGTGTGACCCAGAGCGTGTGACCCAGAGCGTGTGACCCAGAGCGTGTGACCCAGAGCGTGTGACCCAGAGCGTGTGACCCAGAGCGTGTGACCCAGAGCGTGTGACCCAGAGCGTGTGACCCAGAGCGTGTGACCCAGACCGTGTGACCCAGAGCGTGTGACCCAGAGCGTGTGACCCAGAGCGTGTGACCCAGAGCGTGTGACCCAGAGCGTGTGACTCAGAGCGTGTGACTCCAGAGCGTGTGACCCAGAGCGTGTGACCCAGACCGTGTGACCCAGAGCGTGTGACCCAGAGCGTGTGACCCAGAGCGTGTGACCCAGAGCGTGTGACCCAGACCGTGTGACCCAGAGCGTGGTGACTGACAGCGGTTTTGTGAAGCTGCTTTGAAAACAGCGGCGCGCGGCCAAAGCCAGGTCATGTGACAGCGCGGCCAAAGCCAGGTCATGTGACAGGCCAAAGCCAGGTCATGTGACAGCGCGGCCAAAGCCAGGTCATGTGACAGCGCGGCCAAAGCCAGGTCATGTGACAGGCCAAAGCCAGGTCATGTGACAGCGCGGCCAAAGCCAGGTCATGTGACAGCGCGGCCTGAAACTAAAACTCTCTACATTAAAGCTGGGGTACCTAAACTTTCCCTTGCCGTCCTACATGTTGGTAGTGCCCAAACGTAGAATACATAACTCAAAGTCTGTGTGTGTGTGTGTGTGTCTCTGTCTCTGTGTGTGTGTGCGTGTGTGTGTGTGTCTCTGTGTGTGTGTGTGTGTGTGCGCGCGTGTGTCTCTGTCTGTGTGTGTGTGTCTCTGTCTCTGTGTGTGTGTGCGCCTGTGTGTCTGTGTGTGTGTGTGTCTGTGTGTGTGTGTGCGCGTGTGTGTCTCTCTGTGTGTGTCTGTCTCTGTGTGTGTCTGTGCGTGTGTGTGTGTCTGTGTCTGTGTGTGTGTCTGTGCGTGTCTGTGTGTGTCTGTGCGTGTGTGTCTGTGCGTGTGTCTGTGTGTGTGTGTGTCTGTGCGTGTGTGTGTGTGTCTGTCTGTGTGTGTGTGTGTCTGTGCGTGTCTGTGCGTGCGTGTGTGTGTGTCTGTGTGTGTGTAGCATAAGTTGCAGAGGGACTGGATCCTGAACGTTCTGGAGGTTGGGATCAGAGACCGGTTCTGCTTCGCTCTGTGTGAACAACAAGGAGTGTTCCAGAGTCTGCTGGGCTTCTGCAGCTCTGCTCTGTGTGACCACCACACCCAGGTACCACCTAGAGCACCACCTAGAGCAGGACAGCACCACCTAGAGCGGGACTGTACCACCTAGAGCAGGACAGTACCACCTAGAGCAGGACAGCACCACCTAGAGCAGGACAGCACCACCTAGAGCGGGACTGTACCACCTAGAGCAGGACTGTACCACCTAGAGCAGGACAGTACCACCTAGAGCAGGACAGTACCACCTAGAGCAGGACAGCACCACCTAGAGCAGGACAGCACCACCTAGAGCAGGACAGCACCACCTAGAGCAGGACAGCACCACCTAGAGCAGGACAGCACCACCTAGAGCAGGACTGTACCACCTAGAGCAGGACAGCACCACCTAGAGCAGGACTGTACCACCTAGAGCAGGACAGCACCACCTAGAGCAGGACAGCACCACCTAGAGCAGGACAGTACCACCTAGAGCAGGACAGCACCACCTAGAGCAGGACAGCACCACCTAGAGCAGGACAGCACCACCTAGAGCAGGACAGTACCACCTAGAGCAGGACAGCACCACCTAGAGCAGGACAGTACCACCTAGAGCAGGACAGCACCACCTAGAGCAGGACAGCACCACCTAGAGCAGGACTGTACCACCTAGAGCAGGACAGCACCACCTAGAGCAGGACTGTACCACCTAGAGCAGGACAGCACCACCTAGAGCAGGACAGCACCACCTAGAGCAGGACAGTACCACCTAGAGCAGGACAGCACCACCTAGAGCAGGACAGCACCACCTAGAGCAGGACAGCACCACCTAGAGCAGGACAGTACCACCTAGAGCAGGACAGCACCACCTAGAGCAGGACAGTACCACCTAGAGCAGGACAGCACCACCTAGAGCAGGACAGCACCACCTAGAGCAGGACTGTACCACCTAGAGCAGGACAGCACCACCTAGAGCAGGACTGTACCACCTAGAGCAGGACAGCACCACCTAGAGCAGGACAGCACCACCTAGAGCAGGACAGTACCACCTAGAGCAGGACAGCACCACCTAGAGCAGGACAGCACCACCTAGAGCAGGACAGCACCACCTAGAGCAGGACAGTACCACCTAGAGCAGGACAGCACCACCTAGAGCAGGACAGTACCACCTAGAGCAGGACAGCACCACCTAGAGCAGGACAGCACCACCTAGAGCAGGACAGAATTTTTAAAGAATTTATTTGTAAATGATGGTGTAAAATAAGTATTTGGTCACTTCAAAAGGAAGACCTGTGGCTCTCACAGACCTGTAACTTCTTCTTTAAGAAGCTCTTCTGTCCTCCACTCGTTACCTGTATTAATGGCACCTGTTTGAACTCATCTGTATAAAAGACACCTGTCCACAGCCTCAAACAGTCAGACTCCAAACTCCACTATGGCCAAGACCAAAGAGCTGTCCAAGGACACCAGGAAAAGAATTGTAGACCTGCACCAGACTGGGAAGAGTGAATATACAATAGGCAAGCAGCTTGGTGTGAACAAATCAACTGTGGGAGCAATTATCAGAAAATGGAAGACATACAAGAGCACTGATAATCTCCCTCGATCTGGGGCTCCACGCAAGATCTCATCCCGTGGGGTCAAAATGATCATGAGAACGGTGATCAAAAATCCCAGAAGCACACGGGGGGACCTGGTGAATGACCTGCAGAGAGCTGGGACCAAAGTAACAAAGGTTACCATCAGTAACACACTACGACGACAGGGAATCAAACCCTGCAGTGCCAGACGTGTCCCCCTGCTGAAGCCAGTGCATGTCCAGGCCCGTCTGAAGTTTGCCAGAGAGCACATGGATGATACAGCAGAGGATTGGGAGAATGTCATGTGGTCAGATGAAACCAAAGTACAACTGTTTGGTATAAACTCAACTCGTCGTGTTTGGAGGAAGAAGAATACTGAGGTGCATCCCAAGAACACCATACCTACTGTGAAGCATGGGGGTGGAAACGTCATGCTTTGGGGCCTTTTTTCTGCTAAGGGGACAGGACGACTGATCCGTGTTAAGGAAAGAATGAATGGGGCCATGTATCGTGAGATTTTGAGCCAAAACCTCCTTCCATTGAGTTAAGTATTTGGTTAATAACAGAAATTTATTTTCCACCCTAATTTACAAATAAATTCTTTAAAAATCCTACAATGTGAATTCCTGGATTGGGTCTCTCACAGTTGAAGTGAACCTATGATGAACATTACAGACTTCTGTCATTATGTTAAGTGGGAGAACTTGGACAATCGGTGGCTGACTAAATACTTCTTTGCCCCACTGTATGTCTCTGTCTCAGGCCCAGATCCTGCGGGTGCTAACTGCTGCAGCCAAAGTGCCTCAGGCGGCCTTCACTCTGATCCAGGGCTGTGGTCTGCTGAGCTGGACCCTGCAGCTGCTGCACTCACGGTAAGAGGGTCCCCCTCTACACTCTCACTCTAAACCTTTCACTCTCACAGTGAGAGGGTCCTCTACACTCTCACACATCTCACTCTAAACCTTTCTCTCTCACAGTGAGAGGGTCCTCTACACTCTCACACATCTCACTCTAAACCTTTCTCTCTCACAGTGAGAGGGTCCTCTACACTCTCACACATCTAAAACCTTCCTCTCTCACAGTGAGAGGGTCCTCCTCTAAACTCTCTCTGTGCAGGAGGTTGGACCAGCAGGTGCTCTGCTCCGTCATCGAGCTGCTGCACTCCCTCTGGACCACCAACCTCGGGGATAAGGAGGCGCGGCTGGACGCTCTGGGCCTGGAACCTCCTGTTGAGAAACCGGAGAAGGCCGTGAAGTGTCTGCCCCTCCCCCTCACCTGCGAGTTTGTCTGCGTGGCCTCCACCGTCTCCAAGCACCTCAGGTAAAGCACCTCCACCGTCTCCAAGCACCTCAGGTAAAGCACCTCCACCGACTCCAAGCACCTCAGGTAAAGCACCTCCACCGACTCGAAGCACCTCAGATAAAGCACCTCCACCATCTCCAAGCACCTCAGGTAAAGCACCTCCACCATCTCCAAGCACCTCAGGTAAAGCACCTCCACCATCTCCAAGCACCTCAGGTAAAGCACCTCCAAGCACCTCAGGTAAAGCACCTCCAAGCACCTCAGTAAACTGTGGTTCAGATCCATCTGAAGTCACACACTGTCACTTTAAAGCTTTCGTGTGACTCCAGAGAAAACTGTGTGTTTAAGAAGAAGATCCTGTGTCTGTCCCAGAGAAATGTCAGTGTTGCATCGTCAGGTTCAGAGCAGTGGAACCAGGAGCAGCTCAAGAAACACGAACAATGTTTGAGTCAGGAGACAGTGTGAACTCTGCATCAGAGTCAGGAGACAGTGTGAACTCTGCATCAGAGTCAGGAGACAGTGTGAACTCTGCATCAGAGTCAGGAGACAGTGTGAACTCTGCATCAGAGTCAGGAGACAGTGTGAACTCTGCATCAGAGTCAGGAGACAGTGTGAACTCTGCATCAGAGTCAGGAGACAGTGTGAACTCTGCATCAGAGTCAGGAGACAGTGTGAACTCTGCATCAGAGTCAGGAGACAGTGTGAACTCTGCATCAGAGTCAGGAGACAGTGTGAACTCTGCATCAGAGTCAGGAGACAGTGTGAACTCTGCATCAGAGTCAGGAGACAGTGTGAACTCTGCATCAGAGTCAGGAGACAGTGTGAACTCTGCATCAGAGTAAGGAGACAGTGTGAACTCTGCATCAGAGTCAGGAGACAGTGTGAACTCTGCATCAGAGTCAGGAGACAGTGTGAACTCTGCATCAGAGTAAGGAGACAGTGTGAACTCTGCATCAGAGTCAGGAGACAGTGTGAACTCTGCATCAGAGTCAGGAGACAGTGTGAACTCTGCATCAGAGTAAGGAGACAGTGTGAACTCTGCATCAGAGTCAGGAGACAGTGTGAACTCTGCATCAGAGTCAGGAGACAGTGTGAACTCTGCATCAGAGTAAGGAGACAGTGTGAACTCTGCATCAGAGTCAGGAGACAGTGTGAACTCTGCATCAGAGTCAGGAGACAGTGTGAACTCTGCATCAGAGTCAGGAGACAGTGTGAACTCTGCATCAGAGTCAGGAGACAGTGTGAACTCTGCATCAGAGTAAGGAGACAGTGTGAACTCTGCATCAGAGTCAGGAGACAGTGTGAACTCTGCATCAGAGTCAGGAGACAGTGTGAACTCTGCATCAGAGTAAGGAGACAGTGTGAACTCTGCATCAGAGTCAGGAGACAGTGTGAACTCTGCATCAGAGTCAGGAGACAGTGTGAACTCTGCATCAGAGTCAGGAGACAGTGTGAACTCTGCATCAGAGTCAGGAGACAGTGTGAACTCTGCATCAGAGTCAGGAGACAGTGTGAACTCTGCATCAGAGTCAGGAGACAGTGTGAACTCTGCATCAGAGTCAGGAGACAGTGTGAACTCTGCATCAGAGTCAGGAGACAGTGTGAACTCTGCATCAGAGTAAGGAGACAGTGTGAACTCTGCATCAGAGTCAGGAGACAGTGTGAACTCTGCATCAGAGTCAGGAGACAGTGTGAACTCTGCATCAGAGTCAGGAGACAGTGTGAACTCTGCATCAGAGTCAGGAGACAGTGTGAACTCTGCATCAGAGTCAGGAGACAGTGTGAACTCTGCATCAGAGTCAGGAGACAGTTTCAGATGTTTGCATCAGTTAATTTTCAGAACATGTGACAACTTTGAAGATGTCTTTTTTTATTGTGAAGCAAACAACAAATAGGACAAAATAACAAAAAAGGTCTCTGTGCATAACTCTTCACCCCCTAAAGTCAATACTTTGTAGAGCTCCTTCTGCGGCAAACACAGCTGCAAGTCTCTTTGGATAAGTCTCTATGAGCTTGCCACATCTTACCACTGAGATGTTTGCCCATTCCTCTTCGCAAAACTGCTCCAGCTCCTTCAAGTTGGATGGTTTGCGCTTGTGAACAGCCATCTTTAAGTCTGACACAGATGTTCTATTGGACTGAGGTCTGGGCTTTGACTCGGCCCAACACATTTACATGTTCCCCTTAAACCACTGAAGTGTTGCTTTAGCAGTGTGTTTGGGGCCATTGTCCTGCTGAAGGTGAACCTCCGTCCTAGCCTCAAATACACACAGAGTGGAACAGGTTTAGCTCAAGAATATCCCTGTATTTAGCACCATCCATCTTTCCCTCAACTCTGACCAGTTTCCCAGTCCCATCCCCACAGCATGATGCTGCCACCACCATGCTTCACTGTGGGGATGGTGTTCTTTGGGTGATGTGACGTGTTGGGTTTGTCGCAGACATAGCGTTTTCCTTGATGGCCGAAAAGTTCAATGTTAGTCTGATCAGACCAGAGCACCTTCCTCCGTACATTTGGGGAGTCTCCCTCATGCCTTTTGGCAAACTCAAAACATGCCATTTTGTTTTTTGCTGAAAGTAATGGCTTTCTTCTGCCGCTCTGCCATAAAGCCCAACTCTGTGGAGCGTACGGCTTATTGTGGTCCTATGTACAGATGCTCCAGTCTCTGCTGTGGAACTCTGCAGCTCCTCCAGGGTAACCTTAGGGCTCTGTGCTGCCTCTGATTAATGCCCTCCGTGCCCGGTCCCTGAGTTTTGGTGGGCGGCCGTCTCTTGGCAGGTTTGCTGTTGTGCCATGTTCTTTCCATTTGGTTATGATAGATTTGATGGTGCTCCTGGGGATCATCACAGATTTGGATATTTGTTTATAACCTAACCCTGACTTGTACTTCTCAACAACACTGTCCCTGACCTGTTTGGAGAGTTCCTTGGTCTTCATGGCAGTGTTTGGTCAGTGGGGCCTCTTGCTTTGGTGTTGCAGCCTCTGAGGCCTTTCAGGTGTGTGTATGTACTGACAGGTCATGTGACACTTAAAGGTGTGTATGTACTGACAGGTCATGTGACACTTAGAGGTGTGTATGTACTGACAGGTCATGTGACACTTAAAGGTGTGTATGTACTGACAGGTCATGTGACACTTAAAGGTGTGTATGTACTGACAGGTCATGTGACACTTAAAGGTGTGTATGTACTGACAGGTCATGTGACTCTTAAAGGTGTGTATGTACTGACAGGTCATGTGACACTTAAAGGTGTGTATGTACTGACAGATCATGTGACACTTAAAGGTGTGTATGTACTGACAGGTCATGTGACACTTAAAGGTGTGTATGTACTGACAGGTCATGTGACACTTAGAGGTGTGTATGTACTGACAGGTCATGTGACACTTAAAGGTGTGTATGTACTGACAGGTCATGTGACACTTAAAGGTGTGTATGTACTGACAGGTCATGTGACACTTAGAGGTGTGTATGTACTGACAGATCATGTGACACTTAAAGGTGTGTATGTACTGACAGGTCATGTGACACTTAAAGGTGTGTATGTACTGACAGATCATGTGACACTTAAAGGTGTGTATGTACTGACAGGTCATGTGACACTTAAAGGTGTGTATGTACTGACAGATCATGTGACACTTAAAGGTGTGTATGTACTGACAGATCATGTGACACTTAAAGGTGTGTATGTACTGACAGATCATGTGACTCTTAAAGGTGTGTATGTACTGACAGGTCATGTGACACTTAAAGGTGTGTATGTATTGACAGGTCATGTGACACTTAAAGGTGTGTATGTACTGACAGATCATGTGACACTTAAAGGTGTGTATGTACTGACAGATCATGTGACTCTTAAAGGTGTGTATGTACTGACAGGTCATGTGACACTTAAAGGTGTGTATGTACTGACAGGTCATGTGACACTTAAAGGTGTGTATGTATTGACAGGTCATGTGACACTTAGACTGCACACACTGTTTATGTAACTTCTGAAGGTAGTTAGTTGCATCAGAGCTTTTTATGGGCTTCATAACAAAGGGGGTGAATACTTATGCACATGCCAATTTACAGTTTTTTATTTCTGAAAAATAGTTTTATGTTTATATTTTTCTCATTTCACTTCACCAACTTAGATCTGATCCATCACATGACATTCAGATTAAAAAACATTGAACGAAAGGCTGTAATGTAACAAAATAGGTAAAAAGCCAATACTTTTGCAAGGCACCTGTATATATAAGGTCCCACAGAAAGGCACCTGTATATATAAGGTCCCACAGAAAGGCACCTGTATATATAAGGTCCCACAGAAAGGCACACACCTGTATATATAAGGTCCCACAGAAAGGCACACACCTGTATATATAAGGTCCTACAGAAAGGCACACACCTGTATATATAAGGTCCTACAGAAAGGCACACACCTGTATATATAAGGTCCCACAGAAAGGCACCTGTATATATAAGGTCCCACAGAAAGGCTCACACCTGTATATATAAGGTCCTACAGAAAGGCACACACCTGTATATATAAGGTCCCACAGAAAGGCACACTGTATATATAAGGTCCCACAGAAAGGCACACACCTGTATATATAAGGTCCCACAGAAAGGCACACACCTGTATATATAAGGTCCCACAAAAAGGCACACACCTGTATATGTAAGGTCCCACAGAAAGGCACACACCTGTATATATAAGGTCCCACAGAAAGGCACACACCTGTATATATAAGGTCCCACAGAAAGGCACACACCTGTATATATAAGGTCCCACAGAAAGGCACCTGTATATATAAGGTCCCACAGAAAGGCACACACCTGTATATATAAGGTCCCACAGAAAGGCACACACCTGTATATATAAGGTCCCACAAAAAGGCACACACCTGTATATGTAAGGTCCCACAGAAAGGCACACACCTGTATATATAAGGTCCCACAGAAAGGCACACACCTGTATATATAAGGTCCCACAGAAAGGCACACACCTGTATATATAAGGTCCCACAGAAAGGCACACACCTGTATATATAAGGTCCCACAGAAAGGCACGCACCTGTATATATAAGGTCCCACAGAAAGGCACACACCTGTATATGTAAGGTCCCACAGAAAGGCACACACCTGTATATATAAGGTCCCACAGAAAGGCACACACCT